AGAGAAACATCGACTAGCTGCCTCCTGCACACCTCCTACTGGGGATGTGCCAGCAACCAACGTACATGCCCCTGACCGGAATTGAACCTGGGACCCTTCAGTCTGCAGACCGACGCTCTACCGCTGAGCCAAACCAGTTTCGGCTGACATCATTTCTGATGTTCTACTTTCACCAATGCACTTATTCTAGCTCATAAATGCCTACAATGATCTGTAATACACCATTTAAAAGTTTTCATTGTCAGTAAATTTGGGGAATTCCACACTATAAAACTAAAAAACAAGTTATGAATAACTGTCAATGATAAAAAATATATATATAAGTCAAATTTTCTACCATGGCTTTATTTTTAAAACCTATACAGTTTCATTTAATAAAATACTTCCACAAAATATCTAATTATACAGCAACAGAGAAACAAAAATACAGTTAGAGGTTATCCAAAAATAAATTCACAATTTTGAAGATGAAATACATGTTTTTTCAAATAAACAATTTAAAGATTGTTTCAGACAGCTTTCCTCTTAAACGTCTGAGAGACACATGCTCAATCTTTTTAACTCAAACTAGACAACCTCTCAATAACTTCACAAGTGCTTCTATTAACATGAGAAGCTTAAAATAATTAAAATAATCCTCAAGCCACTCAATAACTAATTTAGTTACAAAATTTACTTGGCTACTCTTGAAAATGAAATCTATATCTGAATTGTGAAGAGGAACAACTTTTTATAGAAAAAGTTGAGTCCTCCTAAGTAATTGATTTATTTTCTATTAAATGATCCTATTAAGACTACTTTCACAATATATCTTAATCCTGAAAGAGTTCGAGGTGTTAAAATACGAAAAGCTTCTTTGGCCCTTTGGATAGAGGTACCTTATATGTAAACAACTGTAATGAGAGCCTTCTACAAGTGGACACTGTATCTTACTGAGTTGGAGATGTGTGTCCTTGTTTCTGAAAGACATAGAAATTCATTTCCTTATAATAAAAGAGTTGATATACTGAGATTTATTTTCAAATGCCTTATCAAAATTCATATGTATGTCTATAAAGAACAGGTTCAAACGATCAGAGGAAAGCATTCCATAATGATATTACATCATAGGTTTTATTAACGGTAAATGTTTGCATTTATTTTTAAAAGCTTAGCTCTTGCTAAGCACCTTATATAAAAAAAAAGCTAATAAGCAAGAATCATTTGCCATACAAAAACTATATTCACAAACTAGACTTTAAATTTAATCAAGTGAAAGCTAAAAACCACTGGAAAAAATACAACACAAAACTCTGCTGAGTCAACTCAATTGCTTTCTATAACCGAATATACAGTATTTAGGATGATACAAGCATGCTGAACTTAAAAGTAATTTTGTGGATTCAATCTAAGCAAGACTGGCAGTAAGACTAGCATATCGACAAGCAATTCCTGATTTCCACTCCCAACCCCAAACATTTCTTTAAATTGAAATCACTTGAACAAAAGGTTTCTTTTTCATTTGAGAGGAAGATCATCTGTGTTTACCAAACAGGTCCTCATTTCATATTAAAATGGCAAACTGAGCCCTATTTCCTCTTCCCAGAGGCTAATTATACATGGCTTTGCATAATGACTTAACATAGTACTACTCTTCTGGTAACAGTGTCGTGGCCATGAACAATCAGTTAAAAACAAACAAACAAACAAACAAAAACAAACTATTAAGTGCAAATCTAAAAGAATTCCTTTAAAGAATTACCCAAACTTAGCACACACACAGTATCGCTATTACACAAGCTTAAGCAATACAACCTATAAACATGTGTAGGATAAGACACACACACTATGCCTTCTATAAAGTTTTAGTAGTGTTGCCAAGTTAATAATTCTTTCAAGGCACTGAAGAATTGTGTAGATGAATTTTCCAAAATATAATTACCAATTGCTTCAACTGTTAAAAAGCCCTGAGTCAGAACTTTCAATAGCTTCCTAACATTATAGATTTCGGCCAAAATGGCACATTATTTAATTTATAGAAAATTATAAGACTAGTTTTGCTTTCAGGAGGAAAGAAATCATGTTTATGAAACAAAATCAAACAGACTGTAAGGAAAAGGAAGCTATCGGCACTATTATCTTTCTTACACATTTTATGCCAGGTGTGAATTCAACTTGTGGTTATGAAATTAATTGCCAAATTGACGTGGCAAGTCACCTTTCCTGTACCTGCTCCTTAAATCCTCAACTAAAAATTTCAAATCTAAAGAGTCCCCCTCACTGTAGCAAAGCAATGTACACATGAGACGGCATCGAATAGTTTTTCCTCAAATTTAATGTTTTAAAGAAGTACAATTGTAATTACTAATACTATTATAGTTTTATATATATGTTAAAGTTCCAAGACTATATATGACTACTAAGTAATATCAGTAAGCATTCCTATCATAATAGTCAAGCAAATAAAATTGCTTTTTGAGAAGAAAAAAAATTTTGAAACAATTACATGTAGACTTAAAGACAACTTACATTTTCAACAAGGCACACATAATTGTGAAAATCTTTTACCTTCCCAATTTAGTACAAGTTCAAAGCTTAACTAATTCTAATGTTTAAAATGTGTTTCTTTCTTCTGGTTCAAAATGAATTCACATACCCTTCCAATTAACAGACTTTTAAAACCTACTCAATTAGGACTGTTGATAATTGTAGGGGAGGGGGAAGAAGTTCTGTCATCCCCCAAATTTTAGAAACTTGATGTTTACCAAGACTTTAGATCTTGCAAACACTAACAATTACGATAATTCAGGCATTTCTTTTATATTTAATCAAAATTCTACTCCAGTTGGGGGAGGGGGAGGAGTTTGTGTTTTAATGGGTATATAGTGTCACTTTTTCAAGATGTGATTGTTTCACAACAATCTGAATTTACTTAACACTAGTGAACTGTACACTAGAAAATGGTTAAGATGGTAAATTTCATGTTGTTTTACCATAAAGAAATGCAAAAACTTCCGATTCCAAAGTTCAATTTTTACACAAAAATTACTATAAAATACTTTAGACTAGGGGTGTCGAACTCAATCAGAGAAGGGGCCAAAATCTAAAATCCAGCCTAAATCGCGGGTCGAATGGTTTACTCAACAGTCATAAACTGTCATTGTGATGGAAACGCAGCCGAGTGCAGTGATGACAGCGCGGTGCGGGCCACATTGCAAGGCCTGGCGGGACGGATTTGGCCCACGGGCCTTGTGTTTGACACATGTGCTTTAGACATTCCGAGAAGGTAAGTGCTTTTCCTTTTGCATTTTTTTTTAAAGCAAGCTGTATCAAAGCCTATAATTTCCAAAGCAATTGTCAATTAAACTATACTGGAAACTGGTTGAAAGGCCCTTTCTATTATTCAATTAAATGCACTCTCTCCACTTATTGCTTTAATAAAATCTACATGATCCCCTTTTCTCTTTAATTCAAACACTTGACTTTTTTTTATTTTATTTTTTTTTTACTTTGGCAAACCCTACTGTCTTCCCTATTCTACCCCATCACCAAATCTCTTAGTTCATTAACTAATTCCTAGTCCAAAAGGGTCCAAACTTGATAATAAACAAAAATGACAATGGGGCAACACAGATTAGAGAGTATATTTCTATCATGTAAAAATGAAGCAAGCTTTGAAATTTGAATTGGATAAATCTTAAGCAACATGCATTTCAATATGCTAGAATAGTCTTATAGGCTAAAGCCATCAAATATAAAATTTAAGAATTCAACATTATCAATTAATTTTATACCTCAGTAGCTAGCTGGCCAATTTGCGATGTTTAAAATTAATAACCAAGCATAATTTAGCCAACTAAACTAAACACTTGTCAAAAGTAATATTCCTATACGAACACAAAATGATCTTTTCTTAAAAAATGATCTTGCTCCCAACAAAATTAAATATGAATATAATAGAAGCAGTAACAATGTTAAATTATGTGAAGAACACAATTGGAATAGCACCACCATCTGCTAAATTGTATGTTTTGGGTATCAAAGCTGACAATCTTAGAAGAATAAAGGGGGTAGAGAAAATCCAATACCACTTGATAACTCTTATAAAACATTAGGAAATGCTATCAATACATTTGGATCCCTCTTTGTCTATAGATTACTTCAAATATATGACTGTGTGATAAATTCTTTATGTGTTAAGGTGCTGACCATTTTTTTCAATGTTGTATATCTGACCCCTGAAGCCCATTATATATTTTAATGAATGCAATATTAGTTTTTGGGGGTTTTTTTTAAATGACTCCAGGAAAAAGCTCTTTGAGGCGTAAGATTAAGAGATGATAATGAGAAAGAAACACACCTAACTGGGAAAGTACTGCTAAGCAACATATATAATAAGAGGGAGCAGTTTCACAGTTAGAGGAAAGTCACGTAAATTCCTATTCTCTTTCACGATCCCCAAATAAATTTAAAAAAAATTTCACGTGGCTGAAAATGTGAATAAAGAAACATTTTCTATTTGTTAAGTAAATTTCAAAGTGGTACAAATACAGAAAATCACAAGTGCATAGCACTATAATTATAGAGACTCCCTTTTGTAATAGTTTGTTATTATATTTTTAATATGGTGGGAATAAACAAGTCTGGAAGATAAAACTGCCTTTTAGGAATATAAGTTTTAGCACTGCAGCTCAGAAGACAAATGAAAGGGATTTAAGTAGAGCTCTAGACCACAAAACCCTCTGGTTGGCCAAACTATGCATGCGTCAGCCAGTGTTCTCTCTTACCAGCAGATCTACTGGGAAAGAGACGGTGGCCCCCGGCAAGGAAGAAAAGAAAAGTCCTGACTTACCCGGTCTTCAAATCTAAAAGAGCAGAGTATGTCTCTTTAGGTGAACATTATCAGTCAGATGTTTTATCATTTTATAACTACAAAATATGGCTTGAAAATAGTCTCAATGGCCCTTTATTAGATAACTGAGTAGAATAAATTTTCAAATGTAAATTTATTAAAATTTAATCATTCTGAATGATGTTACTCAGCTAAACACAGATATGGAATTACCAAGACTATAAAATCAGCCAGCAAAGCTCACCATTGTTTTCTCCAGTATTTGCAATGGCACAAGCCATTAAATAGTCAAAAACATGATGCTATAAAGTAGGGGTGTCGAACTCAATCAGAGAAGGGGCCAAAATCTAAAATCCAGCCTAAATCGCGGGCCGAATGGTTTACTGAACAGTCATAAACTGTCACTGTGATGGAAACGCAGCGGAGTGCAGTGATGACAGCGCGGTGCGGGCCACATTGCAAGGCCTGGCGGGACGGATTTGGCCCGCAGGCCTTGTGTTTGACACATGTGCTATAAAGGCTAGAGACTTTATACTTTCAAGGTTAGTTGTTCTGGCAGAAAAAAAAAAGACTTAAGAATCAGATTCAAAGGGGGGGGGAAACTACCAAAAAGATAACTACACTTAGGAGTAAGCTTACACACAATATTTAGTAGACACTATTGTAAACAGCTGGTATCTTAATAATCTAGCAGCAATGAACCCCAAAACTCTTATTTATGTGTATACCCATCCTAGATAAGATTACTCATTCAAAGGAGAGAAAATGATTAGAAGCTCTAAAGTCAAAGTTTAAGTTAAAAAATTTTATGGGTAACCAGACACATTTCTGGTCCTAGTTATTCTTTGTAAAGTAAGTATTTATTTTTAGGTTATTTACTATGTCTTGGGTATTGTTGATAGTTTAAATAATGTCCTTGTCAATAGGCATAAAGAGAGACCACGTTCTTTATAGGAAGCCTCACTGAGAGAGAATGGAAGCAAGGCCTAGAATCAGTATCACCGGCAGAATTAACAGACACGGAGAAGAAAGGACTGCTACCTTTGGGCAATGCATTATCCTTCTCAGTTCACGAGGGTATTGCTGTTGAGTATATCAGAAAGGCTGAATCAAACTTCAGAGACTAATCAGGGTATTATTGTTTCACTGGACAGATCAAACCTGGATAAGTTACCACAAGGAAAACTGAGGTATACTTTTCACAGGCATTTTTTAAAGGCTTACTGAACAGAACAGTGTATAATGAACATAAAAACGAGAATCATTAACAGCAGTTAACAGATACTCTCTGACTGAAGAATTTTCCTCCCTTCAGTTCCTCACTGTAATTTTTCCTTTTCATGTCTACCCGTCATTTTAACACTGGCAACCAGATTCAAGTTTCCTTCCCCCTTTAAATTTAGAAAATAAGCTAAATGCAAAGCCATTATTCTTTCATTCTATGCTTTCATTTACTCTAAGAATTCAGAAACAACTATTTGGATAACTTTATGTTACTTAAAAAAAATTCTCTTTAATATTTCCCATATGTGACAAAATAGTTTGACTTGCCCCTTTCATTTGATGCATAACTTTTCTGAGTACCTGTGTCAATTCACTGTATCAAATCATGATAAACTGAAGGATAGCAGGTTATAACAAAATGTATTTTCTGAGGTCTCACAGATTTATAAAAAGAAGATCTTTAAAGGATTTTTCCTCCTTCATAGATTTTCCCCCTCAGCCAAAAGTAAATTATCTATTAAGTACATGAATTTGATGTTTCAAATTAAAAAACAAACATAAAACCAAACAAAACAAAAAACACACAACTTCAAACACTGTTTTGTAGAGTTATTTTGTTCTGGTACATTTACAGTTTAATTATACTCTAGTAAAGAAACTATAATATTAAAAATTAATTCATTAGAACCTCCTACTAGTTTAAAGGCTTACTAAGATCTCATGACCAAATACCTTAGCTAACAAAACACACTGAGTTTCTTGTTAATACAAAAGAATCCTTCGTTCAATAGCCTTGCGACAGATTGGACATTCACTCATTCGGTCTCCACAGAGTTGGCACGTTCCATGGCCACAGAGGAAAATCATGTTCTTTAGGCGATCCAAACACACTGGGCACATTGTCTGGATGGGAGATAATAAATAAAATAATAAATGCTGAGACATTTTATATTTTGAAAGTGTAACATGTGACAACTCTGTAACATCATTTTCTTTTATTGTTTTAGTCAAATAATCTTTCGTTGCTTAGAACTTTTTTTTTTTAATATACTTTATTTTTTACAGAGAGGAAGGGAGAGAGATAGTTAGAAACATCGATGAGAGAGAAACATTGATCAGCTGCCTCCTGCACACCCCCAAATGGGGATGTGTCCGCAACCAAGACACATGCCCTTTACCGGAATCGAACCCGAGACCCTTCAGTCCGCAGGACGATGCTCTATCCACTGAGCCAAATCGGTTTTGGCAATAGAGCCAAATTTCTTTTTAACGCCACTTCAAAATAGACTCGCCCAGGCCGTGGTATTTTGTGGAAGAGCCACACTCACGGGGTCAAAGAGCCGCATGTGGCTCGTGAGCCACAGTTTGCCAACCCACGGGTCTTAAGAAATAACAGATCAGACAAAGCCAGTTTGGCTCAGTGGTAGAAGGGTCCCAGGTTCGATTCCGGCCAAGGGCATGTACATTGGTTGCGGGCACATCCCCGGTAGGGGGTGTGTAGGAGGCAGCTGGTCAATGTTTCTCTCTCATCAACATTTCTAGCTCTCTATCTCTCTCCCTTCCTCTCTGTAAAAAATCAATAAAATAAAAATGAAATAAAATAACAGCTCAATCCTTTGAATTAAATCAGATGTAATTATTGAGTCAAATAGTAAGGTTGGGGAGGAAAAAAACTTTCTTACCTATACTTACAAGTTTTAGCTATTCTTTTATTTTTGCTTTTATTAAATACTGAGTAGATATAAGAGCATTTCTGTTTGTATGTATCTATAATAATAAAAACATAATATGCAAATTGACCCAATGGCTGAACAGAACGACTGTCCTTCCAGACTACCTGCCGGAAGAAGCAGGGGCTGCAAGGGCAGAGACAGCCAGGGCTGCGAAGGCCTACTCTTGCACGAATTTCATGCATCAGAGCTCTAGTAAAATATAAAGAATATGACCATCATGCAGTTTAAAACATGAAACACTATCTTTTATTTTTAAGCCCTTCTACACATCTTCCCCAATCCTTTTCATCTACTCCTCAGATAACTATTCTGAGTTTTACCTTTATCTTTCCCTTGCTTCTCATTATGATGTGTGTGTGTGTGTGTGTGTGTGTGTATTTTGAAAGTATACCATCTATACATAAATGCGCACAACTCCTATGTGTACAGTTTTTGTTTTGTTTTTTTAATTATATTTTTATTGATTTCAGAAAGGAAAGAAGAGAGACAGAAACATCAACGATTAGAGAATCATTGATTGACTGCCTCCTACATGCCCACACATGGGACCAAGCCCACAACCCAGGAATGTGTCTTGACTGGGAATCGAACGGTGACTTCCTGGTTCATAAGTCAATGCTCAACCACTGAGACATGCCGGCCGGGCATAACTGAACAGTTTAATGCAAGTTCACAAACTCATAAAATGCATGTAACTGATAGTTAAAGCAAGAAGTGGAGTATCACTCCTCCAGAAACTTCTTTTATGCCTCCTCTCAGACATCCCAGACAAGAAAACCACTTCCCATAATTTTAAACACCATCTGAATGACTATCCAAGTTTGCATCCCCAAACATATTTTGTTTAGTTTTATTAGATAAATGACAAATTTCTAAATGACATTCCTGCCAGCATTGTTGAGTTATGGCTGCTACATATTCTGCCTAAAAACTCTGACAGTTTTTAACACTAAGTTTTTCCCACAGTCTCAGAGGTAGCAAAAGATACCTCATAGTGGTTTTAATTTTCATTTCTTAATTAATAACGTGGTTTAGCATTTTTTCATGTTTATGGTCATTTGTGTGTTTCCTATTTTGGAAACCTTTCAATCAGGTTTTACCTGCTGCAAATATTCAAATAGTACAAGTGATACATTAATATGAACCATGCCTATTATAGAAAACACTACTGGTTTTATAGAAAAATATGAAATGCCACTCTCAGGATCATTTTTACCATGCAGAAAGCCTTATTACCTGCTCCTTAATGTCCTGCAACTGCTGCTGCAACTTCTGCACATCTGCGTTGACATTCGTATTATCTTTGTCCTTTTGTAACACTGGGATATTTCCACTTGCTATAATAGAGATAAAAAATTTAATGTTATGACTGTTTTGACACAGTAATGATTTTTCATTTCTAAAATCATTACTGTTTTATTAAAAACACAAGATTATTATTAGAATCCTCTTTACATGTGGACAATAGATACAGTAGTGATATTCATGTTATACTCCCTCACTTATAATCTTCAAAAAGAAATAGGTTTATATATCAATTTCAGATTTTATTTAACACAGCTAACCCAGACTTTCGGGTTTTCCAAGGCTCTGCTTGCTTTCTTTGACAAGTTCACAAGTACATTTTATACTTACTTTCCCTGTTCCTGCACTGTATGAACCCAAGAAGACAAGCAATTATTTTAGACAATCCTAGCAGCAAGCTATCTTTCCTTTATTCCCAACTCTACTTATTGTTAGTGATCTGAGATGAGGAACTCCATGAAAGAAAGGCCATGATCAATGGCCTACTAAAAGGGGGGAAATTTTTTATTTCATTTTTCCTGCTCTCTGGATTCTTGGTCTTTAACTCTAGTTAATCTATTCCTGGAATTATATTCTGCTTTACTGGTGATAAAGACAAAAGTCCTGGGCAGAAGTAGTTACACTAATGTTTTCCTCATTGTACACAGACCAAAGAAATCAAAGATACCATCCAGCTTATAGTAATGCAAAGATGAAAAACATTTTTACATAGCCATACTATTGAAAAGGTTAAAGATAAATAATTTACTTTTCAATTTTTTCAGGTTTCTAGTAATGTAACAAGATCAAAGCCCTACCTGTTCCTCTGTAAATTTGAGTCATAGACCTTACGTTTTACAAGACCACAGTGTTCTATACATGAGAAGATATGTTCAGGGAAGTCCCAACAAGATGGATAATGGGTAAGAAATCCACTTACAGATATCATCAGTAGCATCTTCTGAACTTTTACCTCCACAACACATAATAAAAGGCACTCTTCGTTCAACCACTGCCCGACACTGCACACACTTTTTCATTAGATTAGCACAGTCTGGAAAATAACAACAGGACACTTCTTACAAAAAGAGAAAATGAATAAGAAAAGGGTTGCCTTTTTCTGCTCATTCTTATAAAACACATCCTGCAGGCCAAACCCAACCAGTAGACTATTTTTGTAAATAAAGGGGTTTTTTAAAAATATATTTTATTGATCAAAAATATTTATCATTTAACCTTTTGCAGAAAAAATTTGCTAACTTCTGCACTATGAAAACTTAAATAGCTTGAGCTCTTGTAAGCGGAATTATCTTTCTACATGCACTCTGACCACTGATCATAGGCATTATACCAGTCTTTGGTAAACAGAAACAATTACATGTAGCAAAATGCTACAGTAGAAAAACTTAATCCTTTCTTTAGTTAATGAACTGCATATCAGAATGAAAAAGGCTAAAACAAATCTAGGTTACTGAGATTTATTTACCATGCAATTTGTATATTATGTTAGATATATTAAAACTCAATACCTATTGAGTGAACTATTTTTTAAGAGGAGTTACCATGCTTTTACTTTGGGCCCATTTAACTAAGGTATAATTTATTAAATGTGTTTAAAATCCTTCATTGACAAATGTAAAAAGCAAAGGGGAGATAATATTAATACTGAAAAAGCGTATGAACTTGAAAAGAACAAAGGAGATATATAAAGGCAAAGGTTAAAACATCTCTTAAACTTTAATATTATCCTAATGAAGAAAAGATTTTTATAGGTTCTCTTGACAAAGAGGTTAAATTAAAAATGGCTAAGAAGGCCAGAAATTACAACCCCAAATATTGATGTGGGTATTGGGGAAATTATGCAAGAAAAGCAATATTAAGGTGAAGACAAATGAAGATGTGTTAATTTTATATGTGAGAAAGGGATAGACAAAATGTTTCAACATTCATTTTTAGAAATAAATTTCTATTGCATGTGCGAAGCGATCATTTTGTGCTAAAACAAATAAAATCAAAATTTGACGTAGTGGAACCCAGCATAGTCTTCTTTAAGGCTCAGGAGCAAGGAGGAAGATAGGTGGCATTTTGGTTGAAAGAAAGAAACAGAAGGTACTAGCAGCCCACCAACTTTGTTGTTCATAAGTTATCAAAAAATGTGTTTCATTTTCTATTTTTATAGGCTGAGGAAGTTTTGTATAAGCTACTTACTTTCACAAGCACACATGTGTCCACACGGTTGAAAAAGAACAGCTGCTTTCTTGTCTGAGCATACCACACATTCTTCAATCTACAAAAATGAATTAACACAGCAGAAGGGTGAGCATCTACAGATAAAACTCTAAGTTTCTTTTATATACAAATGTATTTCCTCTGTAAGGAAAAAACTCTCGGCATGCAAAATTTAATACATACTTCTCTGTCCTCTACTCTCTTGGTTTCTCATTGTCCCTGTTTAGCAGGTTCTATCTCCACTTTATTCTTCCCACCTTTCCTAAAGAATATAAAAAAAACTCAATTTCCTCTGAAGTTAGGAAGACCAGACTAGACTTCAATTTTCTTTTTTTTTCAAAAACTACTTTTGGGAGAAAAATTAAGAGAACAAATGACTAATATTAATTTCCAATACTAATAAAAATTTAGCCAGACTGCTAAAACCCAAGGGAATTTTTCTGTTTACCTACATCTGAGAAATGCTACCTAACACACCCAGGACTTGGTCAATTCTCCAACACTGGCTGGAGCCAAAAGTTTTGTGCTATTCTTCCTCCCTGATTTCTAAAGTCTTCCACAATCTATCCATAATGTCTCTCAATTTTACCTCCTCTTCATCAGTTAATCTGAGTTTTGAGTGTGTAACTATTTCTTAACTTTGGCTCTGGCTTCTTTTACCCTCACTCACCTTTTCTTCTCCATTATGACACACATTCAGTCTATCCACATCTTTTTCATTTAATATTACAACTCACCTATAACTTCACCTAAGCAACCAAACACTGCATGCATGCTCACTCTCTCTGGACTTACCAACTTACACCCTGTATGTGCAGAGAATTTATACAGTTGTAGTCACAGGGGAAAGCAGTAAGAAATTGTATTTATATTTCTGGATTCAAATTCCAGAGCCAGTACTAACAAATTGTCTAACATTGTTGAGCTGCTGCCTTTTAAAAATCTGAATGCTAAAGAACAATCCTTTACAGTGTAGTAAAGAGTAAATTAGGAGATAGGAAGAGGAGTCAGGTGACCCTTATTCAACTATATCTTGAGCCAGTGAGGGCATAACTAAACTATGATATAGCAATAGGGTAGAGTACAAAGAGTTTTGAGAACATTTAAGAAAACTTGGTAACTAATAAAAAATGAGGAATGAATGGTGTAGATATCTAGCACATTTGCTAAGTTTCTGACTTAACTACTGATTTCAAACAGTTGAAAGAAGCAAATTTCAGTCTTCTACAGCTCATCGTATTAACATGAGGATATTTTTTCCATCTCTAGGATTATATATCCAGGCTTCAGTCCTATTCAAGGTCTGATTACAGTGAAAGGAATAGTTCCCTTCAGTATAGCCATATAGCCCCAACTGAATAAAAACACTAAGGAGGAGGGGGGCGCAATGGTAAGATATGTAAAAAAACAAAACAAAACAAAAAAACACTAAGCAGTACACCTCCAGAATTGTGGGATAGGGAGCAAAAATAGGAAAACCTGGACATGGATGGCTAAGGAGCCCATAACCTGAGGTAAGTATACTAATTTTACTAACTCCCAAAAAAGATTTTCCTCTCTCATAAAGGAGACTGGCTAGGACTGGACTTTGGCTAAGATTCAAAGATGTCAGTCAGCCATCTATCTGGCTGGCTAGTAAACTAAAAAGAAAAGCAGAAACAATCTGGGTGAAAGAAGAAATAAAAATCCCAAATGTTAGCAACTGGAGACATAGACAAGTGTTAAGAGCAATGATGGCAGGGAGGTGAAGCTCTAATTAATCTAATCTTTGTATATAAGGAGCATTTTTTCCTATAATGTTTTAAGATCTACTGTGTTAAGTACTGATGAAAGATTAAAATGTGATAATGTAAAAAAAATAAATAAATAAAAATAAAAAAAGAGTAAATTAAATGTTATGTGTAACATGTTTAGTTCAATGTCTAATATAGAATCCAGGCCGAATTCATGAGAATTCTCTTCACCTCTCTCTGTATATAATGATGTGCTGCGTTTTTTTTAAATGGTTCCTAATGCAACTCTCTAGGTATCTGAATTATTTATCAAGACTTTAAAATAATCTAGTAAATTTATTTACCCAATCCCGTTAATTAAAAACAAGACAAAACAAAACAAAAAAATACTTTATAACCGTAACTTTTTTCCTCTTCTGGAATTTTTCCTCAGGTTATATTCCCAGGAATGGAATTAGTATATTAATGTTTATTATGAAGATTTTTGTATATAAAATGTGAGAATGGTCTCTCAAAAATGTGAAGCATTTATTCAATCTCAAGCAGTTAAGAGAGTAACCAGCCTGGTCAGTGTGGCTCAACAGTTGAGCGCTGACCTATGAACCAGGAGGTCAATTCCCAGTCAGAGCACATGCCCGGGTTACAGGCTCAATCTCCAGGAGGGGATATGCAAGAGGCAGCTGATTAATGATTCTCTCTCATCAATGATGCTTCTATCTCTCTCCCTTTCCCTTCCTCTCTGAAATAAATAAAATATATTTGGGGGGGGGGGGAAAGAGAGAGTGCCCATTTCCCACTTGCCTAGAAAGGAGTTTTTAAAAATTTATTTTCACTAATTTAATAAGAATGGTTAATAAATTCATACTTTTTTATTTTATTTATTTATTTATTTTTTGTTAATCCTCACCCAAGGATTTTCTTCCATTGATTTTTTTTTTTTTTTTAGAGACAGTGGAAGAGAGGGAAAGACAGAGAGAAATATCAATGTGAGAAAAACACAACAATTGGTTGCTTCCTGCACAATCCTGGCCATGCTTCCTGCACAACTGAGGTACATGCCCTTGACCGGAATCAAACTGGGACCCTTTGGCAATAACTTATAATTTTAAAATCTGTATTTCTTTAATTGCTAAAGAAACTAAGCTTATTTATTCTTCCTTCCTCCAATTACTAGTTTTACGATTTATCTTCCTTGAAGATGTGTATATCTTTTAACCACTTGGGGTCACTATTTCTTTATCTTCAAAGGCTCTGCAACCACTCTGGCAAATCTATTTGGTAGATGTGTTAGTTTTTGTACTTTTCTACAGGTTTGAGAATTTCATAGTTTAAAAACAAATTGAAAGATTACTAATTCTTATAATTTAGAACTGATCTAAAAAAAATGACAGCATATTCCTTCCACTCAGCCTCTCTGTTCTATCAATGCCCCCTTAGATGCTGTTTTTCATTTTGTCTGTATATTGTAACACAGTGGAAAGAACTTAAGAATCAAGAGAACTGCATTATCATCCAACTGTTTGTGTACTTCCCACAGCATCAGTTTTTCCAACTGTAAATACTACAGTTGAACTAGAAGACCACAGGCTATTCCACATCTGAGACTCTGCTTTTGACAAGCTGGGGCTCTGAACCCACGATACTGGTACATGTCTTAAAGCACCTACAACATCCTACATGGCAGAGCAGCTCACTAAGTCACAGTTTGCCAAGGGATTGTTAATTTTCAGCAGGAAATTATCATATACATCTATATCCTGGCTATAAAACAAGACAATAAAGGTTTGTTGGAATAGGGCTTAATATAACATAAAGTCTCAAGCACAAAAGCAGAATACACAGACCAATCTAAAAACAAGAGAATGGCTTGGGTTTTTATTCTTTTAGATTCTTTCCCAAACTATTACTTTGTAAGCAGCTAACTAAAGTTATCAGTGCCAAGTAGAATACTCCACATTTATATATTAATCAAATTTGACAGATAATGCATATAAAATACCAACACAGTGCCATGTACTCAGAAAGGGGGCAATTTATAAGTAACTACAAAACAAAATGGATTCAAATAAATCTTTAGGTTATAAGGTGCTCTGAAAGCAAAATAGATAATTTTTAATGACTATAGTTTACATATAAAGAGGGAATCTCATAAATGGTCTCAATAAATATATAAATCATACATTCCTATATTTAAAACAGAACATAATTAAATAGACACAAGGCATCTTATAACTTTATCATTAATTGTAGTTTCAAAGATCTTCATAAAATTATAAAATACCATATTAAAAACATATTACCTTTGTCCTAGACTGAACTTGTTCTTTACAGATGAGGCATTTCTTGACTCGTGGAGAACATAAAGAACAGGTAGCAACATGTCCACATGGGCCAAAAAGAGTATCTCTCTTCATATCTGAGCACACCATACACTCCTCTAAGGTTTCAGAATCATTACTAATCATTGAAGGACTTCGAGAACCCACTTGACCACTAATAAAAGAACATATTTCAAATCAAGTGTATCAGAATATTTATATTACAAATTCAATAGTTAAAATGTTTTTAAAAACAACTGAGCATATATAAATAGCTTCAGTTGTTAAAAAATTAAGCATCTGTGTATGAAACACTGTATACTATATATTCTATTTATATACATCTCTGCATCTTCACCTATTTGTAGTACTATTTGAAATACCAAGTGAACAAGTTCTTACACACTGGAAAAGGGTGGATCCAAATCTTCTAACAAAGAAATAAAAAATACCAGTTAAAATTTTGGATAAGCAGAGTTTTACTCAGAACTTGTTTTGCTTATGTAGAACCAGCTGAGAAAGGTATAGGAATAAAAAAATAAATAAAATTAAAAAATAATAATTTAAAAAAAAACCTAGAGTCCATGTTAGTTATCCTAATTAAAGACAGGAAGAAATAAAGCATCTATAAAGTTCACAACTGACAAGGGCACTTGGAAAATATGTCACTACATAATTTTCTTATCCAATGTCACCCAATAAATTTAATAAAAAAATAAAGGAAAAAAGAAGAGGAAGAGCAAAGACAAAGGCATTTTCAAGTAGTCTGTTATGAAACTACATGATACCTTATGTATAAAATATCAAGTTTTATGATAATTTATAATACAAACCTGACTTTTTCTTTATGACATTTTGCCAGTGCTTTGCAGAGGCTTGGATCGGGACACAGATCAAGTGGTGACTGACCCTTCTTATTTCGAATGCTAAGGTCAGCACCATTAGCAGCCAAGAAGCAGGCAATAGATGCTGCACTCTTCTTCTCTGCCCCCTGGGTACCAAGTCCCATTATTAACTGAAATCAAATGAAAAAAGAGTAATTACTTTCCCTTTAGGAATCTGTTATCAATTCCTACCACCAAATATAGGGTGGACAAAAGTAGGTTTACACTTATGAATATGTGAAACACTGCTAATTCTTGCATTATTATTTATTACATTATTTCCCTTAAAAACTACTGTAAACCTGCTTATACATCACATATACAATGTGTATATAGAATATGTACCTACATACTCATACATGTACGCACATGTGTACGTGCTAATATGTATGAATGTGTGTGTTACATATAAAAATGCATGTCTGGTAAGAATTTAAAGGCCATATAAATATGGTGGACATTGCAGCTCTAATATCCATTCCCCCTTCCCCTGTAGCCCCACTTTTCTCAGGCATATAGTTTGAGGACTGGTATACACTCCACTTTAAAGGTGGACCATGATGGATCAAACCAGTTAGATATCAACCTGTCTGTGTGATTAGTTCAGGGATGACACATAACCCAAGTCAGGTCATCTAACTATTGACTCAAACATCTTACCTGAAAACAGTCATAATAATTGTTAACATTTACCAGGTGTCTACAATGAACCAAGAATTATTTTAAGGACTTTCCATAAATTAACTAATTTAATCTTCATAACCTTATAGAGATAGTAATCCCTTCCCCTCATTTTAAAATGAGAAAAATGATGCACACAGGAGTTAAAGCAGCAATTCTCAAACACTTAGGTCACAGAACCCTTTACAATCCTTTTTTTTAAATATATATATATATTTTATTGATTTTTTACAGAGAGGAAGGGAAAATGATAGTTAGAAACATCAATGAGAGAGAAACATCGACCAGCTGCCTCCTGCACACCCCCTACTGGGGATGTGCCTGCAACCAATGTACATGCCCTTGACCAGAATCAAACCTGGGACCTTTCAGTCCACAGATCGATGCTCTATCCACTGAGCAAAACTGGTTTTGGCCCCTTTACATTCTTAAAAATGATTCTCAAATTCAGATGGAAAGGTGAAGGACTTAGAATAGACAAATAACTTTGAAAGACTTATACTATCTTATTTCAACATCCTATAAAAATTAATATGCTAAGTGTCTGGTTTATTCAACCAATCAAAGTGTAATATGCTAATGATATACTAAGGCCACTCAACCGCTCACTATGACCACCAGGGGGCAGACAGTCGACTGGTAAAACAGTCGCTATTGATGTGCACGGACCACCAAGGGACAGACACTCCAACTGGTAGGTTAGGTTGCTGCTGGACCCCAGCAGATGGGACTGAGCAAGATGGGCTGGACATGCCCTGGAGCCCTCCTGTGGTTCCTCTCCGGCTGGCCAACCTCCTGTGTCTCTCCCTGGCCTCAATCGTGCACCAGTGGGGTCCTCTGCCTGGCCTGCACCCTCTTACAATCCAGGACCCTTGGGGGATGACAGAGAGCCAGTTTCAGCCCAATCCCACAGGCCAGGCCGAGGAACCCTGCACCAGGCCTCTAGTTTATTATAAAACTACAATAATCAGCTCAGCTGGCATGGCTCAGTGGTTGAGTATGAACCAGGAGGTCACAGGTTTGATTCCCCGTGTCAACACATACTTGGGGTTGCGGGCTCAATCCCAGTAGGAGGCAGCCAATCCATGGTTCTCTCATCATGGATTTTCTATCTCTTTCCCTCTCCCTTCCACTCTGAAATCAATAAAAATATATTTGAAAAAACAAAAACAACAATTAAGACAGTGGGTTGGCATCACATAGCTAAAGACAATAGTTCTAAACATACTAGAATATCGGATCCAGAAAGACTTCATATACATGGTTAAAACTGATTTTGGATAAAGATACACAGGTGATTCAATACAAAAAGACAGTCTTCTCAACAAACAGCGCTGGAATAACTGGATATCCACAAGCCAGGAGAATCCATGTGCATATCACTTATCTGATTTATAAAATTTGCATTCAGATCATATAATAACTCTCAAAACTCAATAGTAAGAAAACAGCTCAACAAAATAATGAACAAATGGTATGAATAAACATTCATCAAACATGTGGGTGACAAAAAAAAACCAAAGAAAAGATGTTTGATATCAGTAGTCATTGGGGAAATGACTTTCAGTGGTACTGAATTAAAGATTATCTTTACTCACTGTGTTTTTGGATGGCTCCCAGGCAGCATCAACCTTCCCCACATCTTGCATATCCTGGAGCTGACGTAGCTGAGACAAGGTGTGATGCCTCAGAGCTTCATGCAAAGGAGTGTCCCCATCCTTATCCTGAATATCTAATTTGGCACCTGCTCGGACCAAAAGCTAAAAGAGAAAGTCATCTCATTTTGCTAAAGTATTCCCACCCACAAGAAATTACAATACAGTTAACGTAAGAATGAGAGAGCCCACCTGGAGGGGCTGCCACTAATAATTCTTATGCATTTGCTTGCTACTACTCATAACCCTGAGGCTCCTTACAAATAGTGAAAATTATGGGTATTGAATTAAAGAAAACAAAAAAGCTCTATACACTGAGCCAAACCGACTAGGGCTTGGCAAATTGTTTTTATTTGATTTTTACTTTGTTCTTTTTTTAAGATCACATACAATTCAATTCCAGAGCAGTGTTTCTCAAATTCGAACATGTATCAGAAAGACCTGTAAGGCTTATTAAATCAGATTCCTGCCAGTTCCCATCCCTGGAAGTTCTGATTTAGTTGGTATGAGGTGGGGGTTCAAAAATTTGCTTTTCTACTAAGGTCACAGGTAATAATGCTGATGCTGATGGTTCAGCCTCCACACTAAAAATCTCTGCTCTGCCCTGACCGGTTTGGCTCAGTGGATAGAGCCTCAGCCTGCGGACTGAAGGGTCCCGGGTTCGATTCCGGTCAAGGACATGTACCTTGGTTGCGGGCACATCCCAAGTAGGGGGTGTGCAGGAGGCAGCTGATTGATGTTTCTCTCACATCAATGTTTCTAACTCTTCTATCCCTCTCCCTTCCTCTCTCTAAAAAAATCAATTATAGATAGATAGATAGATAGATAGATAGATAGATAGATAGATAGAGGTATATATACAAGAATCACTGGTCTACCAAAAAATATTTTTTAAAGATAACCTTTCAAATATTTTGTCTACAATAACCAGGTTAATAAAATAAAAACATTTTATTTGGAATCAATGCAGCAAATATCCAGCCAAAGTTTTAAATTATAATTCAGTCTCAATTATATAAATTAAGTGAGAATGTACTTTTTAAAAACTAATTTATATGCTACTTGGAAATTCTTTAATTTAATATTCTGATAATTCACAAATCTGGCAACAAAATTATAAAAACTTTAAATATCAGAGTTTTAAGATATTCCCTACTATAAATTAAACTGCTATAAAATAGTCTAAAATCATAATTTTTACATATAACTCTGTCTTCTGAGAAATCTAACAATGTGTTACTTAAATTTCCAAAACATTCTAGAAATCCGTCTGGTTAAACTACAACTGCAAACTAAGATTCATGTTAGTAAAAACTTTACCCTAACAATCTGGGTGTGCTGTCGTTCAACAGCAAGATGGAGGGCCGTTTGTTGGTTCACATTCTGGATATCCAGGTTTGCATTACCCTGAAAAACAACAACAAAGTTTTTATAGTTAAAATCTAACAACTGGGACTGAAAAACAGTGGGAAAATATCGTTGTGTGAAGATTAACAGAAAAAAAAAAGTAACATGCAAAACTGCCTCGCAACAATGTCTGGCATAATAAAAAATAGGAAATTAAGAAAAGGTTCAAAAAATTAAACTTTATCATCCTGTTTGTATTAGAACCATTCATGCTCTCTGATTACAACTCTGATACCCAACTGTGCCCTTGCTTGAAGCATCAAGTACAGCTAAAACTCCAGTAATGCTATGTCATTTTCTAGAAGATGGAATTTCTGGTTTGTTTTTATTATTTACTAGAGGCCCAGCGCACAAATTAGTGCACGGGTGGGTTCCTTAGCCTGGCCATCGATTTGGGCAGATCAGGAAGGCTGGCCTGCTGGGGGGAGGGACCGCAGGAGGTTGGCCTCAGCAGCAAGTAACCAATGGCTGATTTTGTGAGGAATCGGGCTCCTTCCTCCCTCCTGTCTAGGTCCAGGGTGCAAGTGAAAAAGATTTGGGGCTGTCAGGGCCCCAGAAGCAAGGTCTGGGTCAGTGCGTGTCATAGATACTGGCCAGTCGTCTGGTCGTTCCAGACATTAGATCATAAAGGACACTTAGGCTTTTATATATTTAGATGTTTTTTGAATGAAATCCTGAGGTACCTAATCTCAGCAGTTTTCTTATGACTAACTGATCTAATAAAAATAAAAAAAAAGTAATATGCAAATTGACCATCACTCCAAGACATAAGATGGCTGCCCCCACATCCAAGATGGTGGATACAAGATGACCGCCATAAGATGACCAGCAGGGGAGGACAGTTGGGAGGGACCAGGCCTGCAGGGGAGGGCAGTTAGGGGCAAACAGACTGGTAGGGGAGCAGATAGGCATCAATCAGGCTGGCAAGGGAGTGGTATGGGGTGATCAGGCTGGCAGGCAGAAGCAGTTAGGGTCAATCAGGAAGGCAGGCAGGTGAGCAGTTGGGAGCTGGCAGTCCTGGATTGTGAGAGGGATGTCTGACCCTAAACAGGCAGTCACTCCCTAAAGGGGTCCCAGATTGGAGAGGGTACAGGCTGGGCTGAGGGACACCCCTCCCCCTGTGCACAAATTTCGTGCACTGGGCCTCTAGTTCTTATATAATGCAGAAAGTGAGGAATTTCCTTTTCAAATTTCCTGAACTTTTCCATCATTTAGATTTTCCAAAGTAGTAAGTATGCACTGTATGGATGTACCATAATTTGTTTATCCTGGCACCAGCTGATGAACATCTGGCTTGCTTCCACTTTGAAACTATTATAAATAAAGCTGCTACAAATATTTGTGTGGAAATGTGTCCTTAGTTCTCTTGGATATATATCCTGAAGTGAAATTGCTAGTTGTATAGTAAAATATGTTTAATCTTATAAGAAACTGCCAAACTGTTTTTTTAAAATGGTAGTTTGAAAATCACCACCAATGTTTGTGTATTCTAATTGTTCCAACTCCTAATCAACACTTGGCTTTTCTGGCCTTTTTAATTTTATTCATTGTAGTTGGTAATTAGTAGTATCTCAATGTAATTATAATTTATTTCCCTAATGACCAATAGTAATTTAAGCAATGTCACAGGATATATGACAAATATGCAAAGAATAATTGTATTTCCATAAACTAACAATATACAAAATTGAAGTTTTAAAACAATGTAATTTACGCCAGCCAGTGTGGGTCAGTGGTTGAGCACTGACCCATGAGCCAGGAGGTCACAGTTCAATTCCCGGTCAGGGCACATGCCTAGGTTTCAGGCTCAATCCCCAGTTTGGAATGTATAGGAGGCAGCCAATCAATGATTCTCTCTCATCATTAATGTTTCTATTCCTCTCACTTCCTTTTTCCGAAATTAAAAAAAAAAAAAATACAATTTACAATAGCATCAAAACTTAAAGATAAAACTAATATGTATGAGAGCAATCAAACTCTCAGAAAGACTATTTAAGAGAAATTAATAATCTGATTCTAAAATACATATGGACATTCAAAAGATCCAGAATATTAAAGCAATTCTGAGAAAGAACAAAGTCAGAGGACTTACTCTAACTGATGTTAAGTCTTACTATAAAGCAACAATAACAAAGACAGTGTGTTATTGGCTTAAGGTCTGCCATTTGGATTACGATAAAAAAGAACATTATAATTAACAATACTTTTTAAAGAATTAATTTTAAAAATAAAGGCTTAAAATGGCAGGGGAAAGGTAGTTTAACTTTTGAACTATTTCTTTATCTAAACTTGTGTAGTTTATCTAAACTTGTCTAGTTTATGGAGAATCTACCTTATAATCTAGGGTTTAATTGCACATAATGTATTATCTCCTAAATTTTTCTACTTGACTCCTTGAAGTCAGGGATCACAGACAATTTTTTAATAACTTCAGTGCTTCTATATGGCATATACTTGATTGAAGCATTTGTAATATTTTGCTAAATATACTAAAATAAATTATAAACTATAATAAATAGGTCCCCATAAAAATCAGTCATAAAAAGTTGTCTTATTTTGGAAATGAATGAATGACTAAAGTGAGTGTCTGCTGCTAACCAGCCACACATTCCACAGGTCCAGCAGCAATCATGAATTGAATCCCCAGATCCTGGCTTCAGCCTGGTGTCACCTGATGGCAACTGGCCAAATCAGCTTAGATATCAATATGACGGTTCTTGGTCCTGAGGCTAAATGACACTTCCAGAACAGCGGCAGTGGTTCTGGAAAATCCCTTGTGGTTTTGCTCATTTCATTGGATCAAACCAGGAAGACTGTGCAGAGGGAACACTGGGGACTGAGGGACACACAAACATACCCTTGCCTCCCTTTAGTAATCAGTGTTAGCAGACTAATGTGTACTATTTCTGAATATGCATCATCATGGGATTTTACTGTAGCATACTAATAGGTAGCTGATAAACTAATAAATAAATGAATGGCAATGGTCTAAAACTGTTAAAAATTATTAAATTGCTTTTCTTACCTGATGTACCAACAATTCAGCCACTTCCACATGATTATTAAGAGCAGCCAGATGCAAGGCAGTATACCCATCATCTTTCTTCTCATCCACAATCCATGGTCTTGGTAATTTAGATAGTAAAACACGCATTGCACTGAAAGTCAAAATTATGCTATTTTTATATTTGTATAATCTGATATTTAATTAGTTGTTTTTGAAAAAAATATTTTAAAAATCTTTGAAGTCAAATGAACATATTTCTCTTTAAAGAATATTATGCACAAAGACAAAAAATTTCAATTTTTCTAAAACTCAAATGTACAGCATTTTAATATTTTAAGAAGTAAACAAACTGTTACTAACTAGAGAACAGAATCAAAATAGAATGGGAGTGCTACATAGAAGAACCATGAGAGTCTAAAAATACCAAAGGGTTAAAAAATATACCCTAATAAGGATAATAATTTTGATTTGTGGAATCTCTTAGGTTCAATCTGAATAGTATATATTAGTGGAAGAGTTAATAAAAAACAACCAAGTAACAAAAATATCAGTGCAGAAAAAATAGTAATAATAATTGAAACAAATTTTATGTAGCTTAAAGATTAACATGAACTCTGCAGAAAAAGTTAAAAATCTGTCATTTATCAATAGTGCTAAAACCAGCTGATGTCAAAACACATAAAATGGGTCCTTATAATCTAATATTTGAAATTTAAGAATCAGAAACAAAATATTTCCAAAATGAAAAAGGCAGTTATCCTTAAGAGCACCAAAGATCTATATGTATAAAAGGCTAATATGCAGTGTCCCCTCAGAAGTTGATGGGAAGAGGAGTTCGATCACTCACTATGACATGAGCTGACCACTAGGGGGTGGCACGGAACAAAGGAAGGCCCAGCTGGCAACCAGCAGCTGGGGAAGGAAGGCTTTAGCCAGCAGCCAGAAGGAAGGCTCCAGTCAGCAGCCAGAAAGCCCCAATCAGCCCTGATCACCGGCCAGGCCTAGGGACCTACCCATGCAAGAAATTCATGCACCAGGCATCTAGTTAACCATAAAAGAGCCAGAAACTACTAATTATCAAGAAATGATGCTTCTTAGAGAAAAATCAACTCATCTCCCCAAAAGAAAAGTAAAATTAGAAGCAACTTTTCTTGCCACATACATCAGTAACTTTTCTTAACAGGAATGTTTATGTGGAAAATTCATAATATAATTTGAGGGGAAAATCTCCCTTAACATATTTATCCAGTAATTGTTCTTTATATTGCTTTTTTTTCCTCCAATTTTACATTTTATTTTTAATTGAATTTATTAGGGTGACTGGTTCACAACACCATACAGTTTCAATTTTACAACTAAATAAAACATCATCTGAACACTGCATGGTGCACCAATATTGTCTGGTTTTGTCCCCATTTTCCCCTCCTTTGTCCACCTCCACCCAGCCCAGACCCCACTTTTCCTATGGCTATCGCCATACTGTTGTCTGAGTCTATGTGCTACAAATGTATGCTTTTTTGCTTAATCCCTTCATCTTCTTTCATCAGTCCCTGTCAGTCTGTTCTCTGTATCCATGCGTCTGTCCTCACTTTGGTTTTTAGTTTATTTTGTTCATTAGATTCTACATATAAGTGATATTTGTCTTTCTCTGAGAAGCTTATTTCACTTAACATAATGATCTCCAAGTTCATCCATGCTGTCACAAAAGGTAAGATTTCAAGGTTTGGTGTGATTTTTTTACGGCCAGTAATATTCCACTGTATATAAATGTACCACTCATCTTTATTTTTTTAATATATTTTATTGATTTTTTACAGAGAGGAAGGGAGAAGGAATAGAGACCTAGAAACATCGATGAGAGAGAATCATCGACCAGCTGCCTCTTGCACACCCCCTACTGGGGATGTGCCCGCAACCAAGGTACATGCCCTTGACCGGAATCGAACCTGGGACCTTTCAGTCCACAGGCCAATGCTCTATCCACTAAGCCAAACTGGTTTTGGCCCACTCATCTTTTTTATCCACTCATCTACTAATGGACACTTGGGCTGTTTCAGATCTTGGCTATTTGGAAAAAAATTTCCCTTAACATATGTATCTACTAATTATTCTTTTTTAATACTATAACCTAAGATAAATGCTCCACAGACTTAAAAAAAAAAAAAAAAAAAGGCAGTAAACATAGAAAATAAAAGCTTTTAAAATTGTTCCAATAGGGTATAAAAGGTAAAGTATAGTAAGATATATATTACCTAAGGTGATATCCTATATAATAAAAGCCTAATATGCTAAGTGTTCTGTCAGCCATTCAACTAATCAAAGCGTAATATGCTAATGATATGTTAAGGCCGCTCAACCACTCACTAAGACGTGCACTGACCACCAGCGGGCAGACAGTCGACCAGTCGACCAGTAGCTATGACATGCACTGACCACTAGGAGGCAGATGCTATGACCGGTAGGTTAGCTTGCTGCTGGGGTCCAGCTGATTGGGACTGAGAGAGATGGGCCAGACACGCCCTGGAGCCCTCCCGCGGTCCCTCCCAGGCCCCAATCATGCACCGGTAGGGTCCCTCCACCTGGCCTGGACCCTCTCACAATCTGGGACCCGTTGGGGGATGTCAGAGAGCTGGTTTCAACCTGATCCCACAGGCCAGGCTGAGGTACCCCACTTGTGCACGAACTCGTGCACAGGGCCTCTAATGTGTGAGATAAAAATTTGAAACAGAGAAATGTCAGAAACGTAGAGTAATAGTCTGAAGGTGCAGAATATGTGTAAATGAAACTAAGTCTCTAAAATAATGAGACTAAGGCCTAATATGAGCCAGAACATGTTTCCTTAATGGCAGTGGTTTATGAATCCTACATAGCAAGTCCAAGAATTCTAAGAACAGGTTTTGGAGGATCCAAGAACCTCAAAAATTATACCCAAATTTGAAAATTTACAGCTTTTCTCAGGTTTTAAGCAGGTTTATGACCCAAAGTATAATGAGACTCACAGCTTAAAGACACCCTTCAGTATCTGTACTGAAGTTACAATCTCTGTGTAGGGGTGTCGAACTCAATCAGAGAAGGGGCCAAAATCTAAAATCCAGCCTAAATCGCGGGCCGAATGGTTTACTGAACAGTCATAAACTGTCATTGTGATGGAAACGCAGCGGAGTGCAGTGATGACAGCGCGGTGCGGGCCACATTGCAAGGCCTGGCGGGACGGATTTGGCCCGCGGGCCTTGTGTTTGACTCATGTGGCTTAAAGACACCCTTCAGTATCTGTACTGAAGTTACAATCTCTGTGTAGGCGTGACAGACCTCTTTGGAAATCTATGGACTCACCTGCCCTGAGAAATTCCCATAAAAATCTTAACCTATAGTTTTGAGTCTACAAACCCCTAAATCACATTCATGAACCTCATAAAAGCTAAGGTTTCCTACTTGAGTTTGCTTTCAATAATTTAAAGAATTCTAATCTTCCTCATTCAGTGGATTCAAACAAGATACTAGATATTCTGGAGACTTTGATTCAGATTCTTAATGGGGGAAAATATTAGTATAACATCATACTAATGAATGTTCAGATTTGGATAATCATGATACTAATGCCATATATTGTCTGCTACTTTACGCATTTGGCTATGTGAGAAACAGAATTTATAGGGGTTTTATGATTCTTGGACAATTTTAAAGATGCAAGTATTAAATCATGTGAAAAAAAGCTTTATTAAAAATGAAATGTATTAAAAATAGATATGTTACTTGGTGGGGGGGACAAAAAGATGAAGAGAAATAAAAGCAGAAGAAAGTTCATCTTCATTATAAGCTTTGTGGTAATATTTACTTAAATATGTATGTATATTAATCTGATAAAAAAAAATTTAAGTTAAAACACTAAGATAATATTTAGGCTTACTACCTTAAAAATTTTAATTCGCAACTTTACCGTGATAGGCAAGATATATAAATGCCATACACACACACACACACACACCCCATATTTTCTGGCGTATAAGACGACTTTTGAAACGAAAAAAAGTCAACTGAAAATCGGGGGCAAAAGACCAAAATTGCACAAAAATTACCTGCAGATCTTGACGGCAAAGAAAGTCTTTTCTTTGAAGTGGGGGGTAGTCTTATACAGCGAATATAGGCCTAAACCTATGTTTTAACTGTAAGATTAGGGGGTTGTCCTATACGCCGGAAAATACGGGGTGTGTGTGTGTGTGTGTATACACACACACACACACACACTTCTGAAACTACTAGTAGAATGGGAGATAGTGGGAAACATGCTTCCATAAGAACAAACTTCTCAGGAATATAGAGCATGTTTAATAATAGCTCAAAGGAAGAAAAACAAAAAAAGGAGTGACTTCTCTTCTGAACATAAGGTGTTCACTTCAGCTCCTTAGTTATTTAAGAGGAGACTGGTGTTATGCTGCAAGCACTGAGGCCCATAGAGTTGCTGGGATTGGAGTGGTACCGATTCAATAAATGAATTAATTTTATTAAGCTAATAGACTTGCACTTGTGGAGCATAGTATATGAGATATTGAAATATTTTCCTTAATGCTCAAGCACTCTTTTATATTTCTCAATCTGGTTGTTTTCCAAGAAGTTAAGGACATGGATGGTTTAAAGATAACATCTTACTACCAGTTAAGCAGGCATTTGTGAATACTGCCAAAGAAGCATTAAGTTCCGGAACAACTAATAGTGGAGCCTAGCATAATCCTTGGCACATGGTAATACTCAAACGTTTGCTGAATGATGAACAAATGAGTTCTGAGAAGCAGAGGGGACAGCAGCTGTCTGCAGTGGTATGTGATAGTCAAATGGCTCTGGGTCCATTTTTAGGGCCTGCCATGCTTTGCAATCTATCTTCAGAGATAGGCAACATTTTTCCAAACAGACCAAAATTAAACTGTGAAGGCCTTACATATTAGTATTACTTAATATAAAAAGAGTTAGAATAGCACTATAGCACAAATTAGGTGTTCAATAAATGCTAAGTTATTGTTGCTAATAAATAATCCCTCAAATAATAGTTAAAGCATGTTAGTCCAGAATCCATAAAGGAACTTATTGAGAAAGCTGATAAATACCAAGAAGTTCTTTTGGGCATGCTAAAAGCAGGTTAGTATGTAATAATCTGAACATAGTTTTGTCCAATATGTACCCTTCTCTGAAAGGACACAGACAAGTCTAGGAGGATATATACCAAAATGCTATCCATAGTAATCACTTTAAATAAAAATAAATGGTTTTTGTTAGGGTAGACAGGTAAAACCAGAGATTAGGTGTTACTTAAATGTTTTTTAAATTCTGTTTTTGGTGTGTTTTTCCTACAATTCTTTTTGACAGATATTGTAACTTAAAGGTTCATTATTTTACCTTAAATTCATTAATTAAAATTTGGGTAGTGTAGAATTTAGTTCAAAATGAGAAAGATATACAATGACAATACAGGCTGCAGAACAGGTAAGTTCTTGATCATTCTTAAATTAAAGACACTAAAATGATCTCTTGTGACTAGTGAGTCCTTATTTCTCCTTTTTGTTTGTTTTGTTTTGTTTTGTAGTTTGTTTTGTAGTTTTTGTTTTGTTTTGTTTTGTAGTTAATCCTTACCTGAGGATATTTTTCCATTGTTTTTTACGGAGAGTGAAAGAGAGAAGAAAAGGCAGAGAGAAACATCAATGTGAGAGAAACACATTGGCTGCCTCCAGGGGAGGAGCTTGCAACTAAAGTATGTGCCCTTGACTGCAATCAAATCCGGGACCCTTTGGTCCACAGGCTGACACTCTATCCACTGAACCAAACCAGCTTGGGCTTATTTCTCCTTTCTTGAGATAAGCAAGGAAACCTATTTTACTTATCTTTATATCTCTTTTGGACATGTAGGATAAGGAGCTCACAGTTCTGTTCAATGGAACAAATAGTCAAGTAAACAATCATCTTTCTGAATATAATGAAGGAAGAACATTAGCAACATTATATTTTTGGTGTACCAGTCCCAAAAAGTATAATTCACTAACTGATTTCATTATTACAATATAGAGCAGCAGCAAAGAATAGTGGTTAAGAGCTTTGGGAGTCTATAGCCAAACTATCTGGGTTCAAATTATACCTGTAGCAAACTGAACAGCAGGTGACTTGAGCAGATTACTTAACTTCTATGCCTCAGTTTCCTCATCTATAAAATGTGAGAATCATGAATCCTATCTCATAGGGTTGTTATGAAAATTAAAAAAGGGCTCTGAAAAATTCCTGACACTTCATTATATGTGCTTGCTGAAAAAAAGGGGGGAGGGGAATTTTCACCACTACAAAATGGTTAACAAATCTAGGATAATGTAGAAACCTGAAAATTAACCCATCTTACACTCTGAGACATGTGTCACCTTCTTACACACAGTATGTGTAAAACTATTTCAATAACTATGAAAGCTGTGTCTTTAAATTTACCAAATATCTACAAAAGCTTGACTGGTATGGTATTAAATGTTAAAGATAAAAGCAGTGTCAAGGACAAACTTTCCTTGTAAGAGAATGAACTTAGAAAACTGGTTTTTCTTGATTCTAAACTGATTCAACATTTAAAGTAAGAACAAGGCATAGTTGGTTTCTCTTGGACATTTTTAGGTTTATAACATCTTAAATTTTATCTCCATAGGTTTTTTAGATTTGATGTTCTAATATTTTTTCTCCTTAGTTAAAATAATAAATTTCGATCTTAAAATGTATTGTTAATATGCTATTAAAATTTAGAGCAAAAGTATTTTTCCTTTGAGACATACACTATATGCCAAAGTTATATATAGGTTAATGACTATTTTAGTCTGTAATAAAATGTGAAATGATCATGCTTAATGCTATTGCACAAAATTAAAGAAAAATGGTGATGCAGAAGTGAGAAAAGCACCACTTCACATTTGAAAATGAAATAGAATTTAATTAATAACATGCATGTTAATAGTTATATATGTATATATGGTTTCTAATACAGAAGTACACAATTACTCAAAAACATCCCTGACCGTTTTACACATAAACACTACAAAAATAAATAAATAAAAATTGTCACAGAATTAAGTTTTAATTAGCACTTCCAAAATTTCATTTACACACTACTCCCTTCTTAATGATCTTTTTCCACCTTCAATATACAGGTTCTACCTACCATTTCTACATATTTTCCATTCAAATATTAATTCATTAAATTTAAAGAGCATGTATAGCAAAAACTAGCTCTAAAGATAATACTACAAAATCCCTTCAGGCCTCTAAGTATGTAAAATATCATTATGCATAATATTTTTAACCAACAAAAATTCAGGTTATGAAATATAATATAATATGAGAGCACAGATATTCTATTTATCCTAAAGACTGTCTTGCTTCTAGCTAGGGTGATATTTTTCCTCTCTCCTATTTTCTCTGCAGTGCTAAGTATAGTGACAGCCGCATCAGGCTTTCCCAGTCTCAGCGCAAGCTCAGTGAAAATCTGGGAAATGTAAGTGGAAACATGAGAGACCGCTTTATTTGGCAGTGCTTAAGAAAAAAAAAAAAGGGCAGGACAAATGGCAAAGCAGTGTTTGGACCGCAGGATGAACAATCAATAGGCAGAAAGCAAGATAGAGGCTTCCTCAGTTTTTGGATCGACAATCGACAGCTGGGAGACTATTTTTTGCTATGGTTGACTAAATATGGTCAGGGAAGAGAGAGGCACAAGAGAGCCTGTTTGCCTGGGAGTGCATGTTTCAAATGCTTAGCTGCCTATAAAGCTGTAACAGTTTAGCCTGTAGCCACTGAGGGAAGAATTTAAGTTAACCTCTGTAGTGACCATGTGGAAATCCTGACCTTGCTTGCAGACTTGACCTCTGGATATGACAAGGTAGCTTCAATACAGATTTACCATTTACTCCTGGAAATGAAAAAAAAAAAGAAAAAGAAAAAAAATATCTCATAGCAAGAAATATGCAGAATTATTTCCTAAGAAGTCAGAAGAACCCAGTGTATTCTGAGGGGCAAAGGAAAATAGTATGGATGTTTATGGTTAGTTGGGAGAATGAGGTGTGTTTTGTTTTTTTGGCTTTAAGGCTGTTTTAGGTTATAAAATTAACTTGCTCTGCAACTTTCCCCCCTCTTCCGAAGCATTTCATCTGAGAAATAAGAGAGGTTCAGTATCTTGGACGTTGTAGCAACCTTCCTTGCTTGCTTAACTTTCTGTATAACAGATACAAGCTACTCATATCTATGCAATACTGGTAATTTAACATTCTAAATCGAACAGCCAGTGTTGATTAATTTTTTCTGTGGTTTATTTCTTTTTAAGGGTAAAGGAAGGAAGAGGGAAAAGATGGCTGATTTATTTTTGTTGTTCAATTGTTTTTCAAATTTATCTTAAAAGGTGAGATTCTGTGTTCACTGATAATTCCCTCTGACTTCACCGACTCATGAAAAGAAGTGCTGAATCAGCGGATAGAGTGAAGGAACAATCAAGATGAGATGGCTGCTGCTGATGTGACTCTCGAGGTCATTATCTTTCTTCCTGCTGCAAATGCTGCATGACACTAAGCTCACAGGTAACAGAGCACCACAAAGCCTGTACTTTTAAGGATGCTTGTTTATGACTTTCTGCATGCTTACCTATTACTGACTCAATATTTATTTTTATTGTTAAGTTAAATTCTATCTGGGCAAAGCCTAATTTCAGTTCAACGAGAGAGCTTATGTAGTGTAAAAAGAAATGCTGTTCAAATATCATGGCAGGTAATTCTTTATCTCAAAAATGTACAAATCCATTACTGTCATTTATATTATTAAAGATTTAGTCTTTTATTGTTTCAGATTACATGATTTTGCATCCCTAGTAAATTACACCCTGCTCCCAAAGTATGCTAAATTTTAAAAACTATTAATTATGTCAAGATTTAGTCAAAAAGAAACTTGGCAGATTACAGAACACTTTTTTAAAATATCCTCTAAGTTGGCCACACAAATAAATCAGAATGTGTGTGGTGAAATTCTAATGCTGCAATGCTGAAACTGCTGTAGTACTGCCCTATCTCCTGCTACATTCTAATTTGCTCTCTGTGAGCTGTACTAGCTTTTTATCACAGGCTGCAGAAATTCTTTCCCTGTCTTTTTACCCCTTCTTTCCCAAACCTCAAAATTTCTTACAGTCTTCTTTTAAATTAACTGTTTACTACCAGAATAATTAAAGGCAACTATTATATCTTTCAATGATGAGTGATCAAGCTAAAACCCAGTGCTAATACCTTTCAGTTCTTTTAACTGTTCTGACAGTTGTCCTTTATATTTAAAAAAGAAAGAAAGAAAAAAAGAAATGAAGTAAACTCACCAAAATTAAGTATTTATATACTTCTGTTTAAACTGTATTAAACCCAAAATGTAAAATGTAAAATTCAGATTAGTAGCTAATGAAAACAAAGGAATGACAAAGAGATTTTCAACTGATCATGAATTCTTATCTGTAACCTTAAAAAAATAAAATAAAATAAAAATCCATCTTTAAAAATTCTGTTTAACCTTGGCCAGTGTGGCTCAATTGGATGGTGCATCATTCCATACACCAAAAGGTGGCAGGTTTGATTCCTGATCATTGCGCATATCTAGGTTGCGGGTTCAATCCCTGATCGGGGCACCTATGGTAGGCAATTAATGTTTCTTTCTTCTTCTCTGTCTCTCCCTCTCCTTTTTCACCCTCTCTAAAAATTCAATTTAGAAATTTTATAAAATAAATGAAAATAGAAAAATTCAGTTTGCTCTAAAAAGACCTGGTTTTTCTCATTACCATTTCAGCTTTAGGGTGAATATCAGAAGAAATACTAATTTGTTGATTGGTTAATTTTTATTAAGAAAACTAATCTATAAAAAATAATCTGTACCAAATTAATTACTATCTACTTGTAGGATCTAGAAGTACACTACAAAATAAGAAGAATTTCACTCTGAAGACTCTGAAGAAATACTAGGCTGATTGTATAAATTTCTGAAACATACTCTGTAAAAACTCCACTGGTTCTATAAAGCTATTGCAAAAAGGACCAAGCCAGGATAAAGTACAACAGATAACTGGTCAGTGTTTAGAAGTGTATGTCCACCAACAAGGAACCATAAATGGCATTAATGCAATGCTTCAGGTAAATTTTTTATGATGTTTAGTCTTTGATTGTTTCTACAAATGATCTACCATTGTTCTACATCAGTAAGCGGAACGTTTTACTAATAAACGGGAAAATAAAACAATTCATGTTTTTACAGCTAACAACTTTGTAATACCTACTCAGAGTACATACTTCTTTATGTACCCATATGAACATACAATGCTATGGAATGTAAAGAAGTATGTATTTTTGGTAGGCACTAAAACGCCAAGAGGAAAATAAACTGCAGCTAAAAGAAGCCCTTGCTTCTTTCTGTGTGAATGACCTTCATATGGTATAGTAACCTAGAATCAAAGAGATGACCTTTGGGAATAATAACATAAAATGTACCTACTGCTTATAGATGAAAACTAAATGTCACTAAGATTTATATTTTTGAAGAAAAAAAAAAAAAACTACTGAAATAGATTTAAAATGATCATAAAATTCCTTTCAAATCTTTTACATTTAAAACACAATACATTTTTAAATCTAGTATTCACATGATTAATATATTCTTTTACATGAATATTTGAACACGAGAAAAAAGTATTACTAGCACAAAAGAATGTGATACACACATGACCTATTTTCTGTTTCCACAATTTGATCTTAATTTAAGTATATCACATTAATAGGGCTGACTGATTTATTAAGAAAAGATACAACAAAAGATGATTTCATTTACATTTTAACAACTATTCATATTTTTATAAATTTATAATTTAATAATATTAGAGAATTTTTTGAAGCAAGCTTTTGCTTTAGATTTTCTTTTTTGAAAACTAAACATAGTCATAATTTTAAAAGACTATATTTTAAGTAAAATCATACTCTTAAAGGAAAAAAGTTGCCCTTATCTTTCTCAAGTTTATCATGTCTTTATGCTAAGTTAGTACTTAGAATAAATTAAAATGTAAGATTTATGCAAGAAAAATGACTAAATTCTGGGTTACAGCTACAAGTCAACAGAGCACATTGGTAACAGACTGCCAAATATTTAAAATAAATTAATTTATTATCTATATTATCCTTGAACTTATTTTACCCAAAGGAGATACTCAAAATAAAAATACTATAGTCAAAAAAACAATTTATACAGATAGAATAACCTTCTTTTATTTTTAAAAAATATATTTATGTTGATTTCAGAGAGGAAATGAGAAGGAGAGAGAGAGAGAAGCATCAATGATGAGAGAGAATCATTGATTGGCCGCCTCCTGCACACCCCTTACTAGGGATCGAGCTGGCAACTCAGGCATGTGCCCTTGACTGGGATCAAACCTGGGACTTTAGTCCATAGATCAACACTTTATCCACTGAGCCAAACCAGCTAGGGCAGAACAACCTTCTTTTAATGGTACATGCAATTATAAGTCAATTTTTATAAACATCAAAGACCTACTATATACTGTATGTTAGAGATATCAAAATACTTCCATATTTTATACAAAATTTATTTTGTATTATATTTATATATTAATAAAAATTATAAATAAGCTCTTAATAAGCAGTATCTATTTTAGCTACGATAGACTTATATTAAAAATATTAATATTCTAGTCATGTATTATTAGAAGTATTATTTCAACTGACATAGTCATGTAAAAAGTATAGTAATATTTTTAAATTTCTGTCACAAATTAGTATAAATAGCTATAAGGTGACTATAATTTTCTCTGTTTAATAAGACAACTAGGTAGTTAATTGTCTAAGTTGATTTTCATTTTATCAGATTAGAAAAAAAAAGAATGAATCTATTAGATATGATAGCATATAAGTTATTACATGTTTATTGAAAATTATAAAAAGCTCATAATTTAAAATTCTGTATTTCAAAGAAAAAAATAACTAAAGCTTAACACTTAAGAATAAACCTTCTTTCCAATCATCCACCAAAAAAAAAAAAAAAAAAAAAAGGCAATGCTTCATATTCCATTTAACTGCATGCCCTAAATATCCAAATCTAAAAATATACACCTCAAAAGTAGAGGTTCCTCTATAAAACTATCCAAAGGGTATTACTACATCCATGTTTTATAATAAAGAATTATATTCATTATTGTATAGGTATAAAAGCTAATAATTCATTTAAATCATCCAGTATCTAAGAATCTTATGATTGTAGTATTGAATATAATCCTTAGAAAATAAAATGACAGCATCTGTTATTCTTTTTTTATTTTTTTTATTTCTTTATTGATTAAGGTATCATATATTTGTCCTCAACCCCCCCGTTACTCATTTTAAAAAGTAAAATTATATACTGATTCTGGTGCTTACAACTTTAACTTAACATATCTACGAGTATTTTCAATCACTCTAAAATGTCACATTCATCACTTAGGTCAGCTGTTCATTTTTAACTGAGTACATATTAAACTCTGGGCATCTGCTGACACTGGTGTAACTCAAACATTTCAACTGTCTCTCTGACAGGGATAACAGATGCTGACATTATCAAATGCTGTACTATTTTTTTCCCATGGCCTCTCCTTGCCCCGATATGGCCAGTATATGAAACTGAACTGCCATCCAAAAGCACACTTGAGCAACTGGATCTGCTAAACAACTCCCATATAACTATTAAAAATAGAAGCCAGTTTTACTGCTATCTTCAGCACTTAAGTCTAGGCAATTTAGCACCTGTTTCACCCTATTAGAATAAAATATGGGAAAATTTTAGTTATATTAATTTCAACACGGCATGACACTTACTAACCAACAGATGCAGAATATACTTAATATGACAATTATTTAAATATTGCCTGAATTACTGACCTTCTCCCAGTTTAGTTCAGAACAGTAATTATTTCCTTACTCTTTATATTTCACTTACTTTTACAGGCAAACTATAATTTCTCAAACTTTTATTTTAATCAAGCATGTTTCAGAAGACTTGCCTACCTGACATTGAAATGCAACACTGAAGTTACATTATTAGCAAAAATTGCTGGACTGAGTTTTAATGGTAGATTTTAATACTCAAATTTATGAATTGTAGCAACAATTCAATGTATTATTAATAAACTGATAATGAGGAATAACTAGGCAATCTGTACAGAGAATTCCGTCAAATAAGTAGACTCTTAAAAAGGTTAAATTACTAGTCTATGATTTGTAATACTACATAAGTAAAAAACAAAGAAAAGTAAGCTAGCATGTATGGTAGTTCCTCTCAACACAAATCCAAGTAATACACTAAAATACATGTGCAATCTATTTATAAACCAAAGGGCAGAGGTACTTTCTTAAGGCCACTTGTATTCTTCCAACCTTAGTCAGAAACTTTCTATTAGTCCTCCAGTATAATAATAAAAAAAGCAAGGTGCCTTGGCTGGTATGGCTCAGTTGGTTGGACCCATATACCAGCAGGTCACAGGTTCGATTCCCAATCATGTGTCAGATTTGATCCCCAGTTGAGGCACTTAACAGGAGGCAACTGAACAATGTTTCCTTCCTTCCTTTCTTCATTGAGAATAAAAATAAACAATTTTAAAAAGGCAGGGGGCAGCAGAAAGGTGTAATTAACAGTACTCTTTCGGAACCTGTTAGGTTACTTGGTTTACTGCGTAGAGAGAAACATAAAACATTACTCAAGATCTATTTGTTCCTTTAAATGTTGTTGGTTTCGAAACACGTTATTGTCTACATTTAAAAATTAAGTGTTAAAAACAAAATGCACACTGATAATTCCTTAATGCATTAACAACATGTTGAAGGATAAAGACTTTTCACTTTTAGAGCAGGAAATAGTAGGAAAAGTGCCTTCAAAATAGAAAAATTTATATTCAATGACTAAAGAACGGATATGAGAATCTAACTTATGTGAAAGGTCTATAACCATAATTTTACAAATAAAAGCATTTTAACTGTTTTAAAGCCCTAACTAACAGCATTGCAATGCTTTGCTAGAGCTGGTAAAATGGAACCAAATCGCCTCTTCAATGGATTTGGTCCCCTTCAACCAGCTGTAGCTATGCATTGATTACTACAAGACAGCCAATGTTTTCACTTCTAAGTATCAGACATGTCAACTAACTTCAACTTAAATTATTCAGATTGTGCTTTAAATTTTAAAAAAATTGTTATTCTTTATTCTCCTTGTAAGAGCCATAGTGGTTAACAATGTTTATTAAAACTTTATGAAAAATGTGTGGGTCATTTAAGAATTACAAATAAAGTAATTTTACTTATTTATGGTCTCTTGGTATTAAATTTCTTACCCTTCGGAAAAGAAATGGCAATGAAAAGTAGGCTATGCTGCATAATATAGTTTCAAAAAAGAACTTCCTATTGAGGAAAAAAGTATCTGGGAAGGTCACCTGAAACCATAATAGGAATGCCACATTGTGATTCACATGGACATATTTTAAGTTAAAGAAAAATATAACATTACATAAAATAACACACTAGAAATGTTGGGTAGTATCTTCTGAAGAATTAGCATTTAATTTTACTGCTATTTACCTGAATATTGATAAAGTGAAAAAGATGAGGATACTGAAGAATATCTTGTGAAAAGACAAATAGTAAGAATCTCATTTTTCCAACCCTGAATCAAAAGTTCTTAATCCTCAAAACTGAAAGAAAATCCTAAGCATTGTTACCTTTTTCTCTATAGATATTTTATCTCTCCAACTTGTCTCCTCAACTGTAAAACTAATAACATTCTATGAAACTCCTCATTCCTCTGTCTTCTTTGTCCTACACACACACACACACACACACACACACACACACACGAGCCTCTCTCTCAATGGAAAGAAAATGAAGAAAAAGGAAAATGACAAATGATCCAACATCTTCTAATTTTCTTACTGACTGTAATTAGACTATAACTAACGTAATGTTCTTTAATAAAGACAAGCAGTTCATCAATTAATGAAAGGTTACAGAGGGCAAATAGTAGTTTAAAAACATAGATGTTCACACAATCCTCAACTCCTTACCACTCCTCTATTTCAAAGCAAAGAGATCATCCCTTAAAAGATTGTGGGTAAAGGAAGGCATATGTAAATGAGTCATCACTTCATTCAAGTTAATTGGCCTTCTTCCTTGTATGAATTACACCTGTCGGGCACATTAAATATATTTATGAATTACAAGGCACGCAGTGTGTGAGAGTACATGCATGGACACAGAGAGAAAATGGACATACTATAAGTATAGTACATTCAACAGTCTCTCAGCTACTTTTTATATAGCACTCAGCATATTTAGAGTTTATAAGAAAAGAAAACCATTAAACACAAAGATATGGTCTAGATTATCAAATCTTTCTATATTCAACAGTCTCATAATTTAAAAAATTAAATAAAGGTATAATAACATTCTACAGGGAAAATACGAGGTGCACACATATTCAGTAAGAATTAGTACGTGTCTTTGTGGGAATAAATAGATAAGTAAATAAGAAGGGCCTGTGAGGTTACCTTAGTGCTATGCTACACTGAAAATATACCACATCATATGGCTCACTCATATTTTACTATTACTTTCCATATCCAACTTATATTAGAGAAAAACTTATAAATAACACTACCTAAAATAAGTGTATTATGTTGTTATCAGTGCCTCCAAAATACCTAGCAATTATTTTTTAACAGCTCTTCAGGGAATGCTGCTAATTTGTTTTCATGTCTGCGAGGGAGCCCTAAACACTTCAAGGTACCTAAAAATGCAACGTCCTCACAGAAAATACCTAAGTAATGTGCTGATTAGTGCCACTAATCAAAGGAAATTTAGTTTTCATCTTTAGCAACAGAAATGTTTTCGGCTCTTCATTTAAATCTGAAATTTTACCTGTTTATAAAAATAAAGGACAATATGGCTAAATTCTAGGGAAAATGCCAAATATCAGAATACATAAATAGCACTGTCCTTCATAAAGATTTCTTAAAATAAAAAATAACTACTATATTAAAACATACTTCAATTACATTCTAAAAAGCTCCAAATTTTACAAAGCATAACCGAAGTACTCAGTGTCTCACACAAAAACATATTCTCTTACGTAATTCTGAAAGAAAAGCAATGCTTTATAAGTCTTTTTCTCTTAATATCTTTATTTCAGTTAAGGTTCTTTATGAATAAACACCAAAATCAGCTCTGAAATCTGGAATCTCTATTGATCTGCACCTTTGAAATCTAGATTTCAAAAGTACATTCTTCAAAAACATCAGACATTTAGACATATTTTTGATGAACAGGAAAAGTTATTTTCTTTTAAAAAGCACATCCAATAATTACTAATTCTACTACGTTGTTGGCTGTTACTGACTTAATGCTGAAAAATTATTATTAAAAGCAAAACTAGGAACTAGAATGCTACTTAAAGTCCATGTGTATACATGTACATAAAATTTTGAAAACTTTTCCGCATTTCTAACCATAATAAATTGAAATTATAATATTATAAGAAATTATAATGCTGGTACTAAATTATACTCACAATGATGTACTAAATTATACTCACAATGATGTAAATAATTTACTGTAGATATATATATATATACACACACACACATTCTAACAAAACAAAAAAAACAGCTAAGAATTAGTGCCATCAGTTGTATGTATGTATGTATGTATGTATTTTTATTGATTTTAGAGAGAAAGGGAGAGGGGAATAGAGATATGATATAAAGTTGCAAATTTGCAATTATAAATAATATATAAGTTGTATCATTTTCCTGACATTTTCCTTGGCCAATTAACATTACACTCTTTATCTGGCAATCTACAGCTCACACCTACATAAAAATGCCTTAAGGAAACAGGAATAAAGAAGTCATGCAGTGAGTGCCTGGGCTGGTAGCTAAGCCAGTTAGAGAGTCATCCTGATATACCAAAGGTTTCGGGTTTGATCTCTCTGCTCAGGGCACATACAAGAAATAACCAATGAATGCATAAATAAGTGGAACAACAAATCAATGTTTCTTTCTCTCTCTTTTCCTCTTTCTACCTCTTTCTCTAAAAATATCAATAAATGAAAATTTTTTTTAAAAAACAGAAGTGATGTAACTTCATTTGAAGCAGTACTTTACTGTAAACTAAAAGTGTTTTTTCCTCTTTTTAAAATGTCACCTGACACCAATTATCTGGTTAGAGGTGTCACTATTGAAAATGTTTAGGGGAATTCTCAAGAATTGAAGAAATAAAAGTAGCATATTTCCTCCTCCATATATATAATCTTAGCATTATTAAACATACTATGGCTATTTCTAATAAAATGAAACAAATCAAAATATTAGAAGTCACTCGTTTCCTAAACTCTTCAATTTTCAGTTTACCTTAAACTTTATGATTTAATATTTAACCTAAATTTCCTCAATAAAATCTCTTTTTGCCCATTCTCATCTGTAATAATCACTGTTTAAACTCCTAATAGTTTCTCTATGGAATTTTTTCTGTAATTGATCATATATACTCTAATAATATCTAATACTGTCCTGTCAAATTAAGAGTAACATTTACTGAGTTCCTATTATAGCCAAGGCATTGTGGGGAACATACAAATGAACATGAATGCCCACAATTTAAGTAGAAAGGTACATAAAAATGCATATACTTAGGGACAGCACAAAGCAGATTATAGGTACAGTAAAATAAGAACACAGAACAAGAAAGTATACGGCAAACAGAAAATAGTTTCTATGGTGAGATCTAAGAGTTCTAAAAGAAAGATAGTTAAGATAAAGAAAAAATGCTTAAATGAAAGAAGAAAGAAACAAACTATCTTAAGAAAGGAGAGTAGAATAATGTAGCTGAAGAGCAAGGTAGGCAGATGGCTTTTATTTAGTGAGAGATAAAGTCAGAAAGACCAGGACACACTGAAAATGAGTCTGAATGACAAGTCAAGGTGTAAAGATTTTATTCTATGATACAAACAACAATAAAGGCTTAACTACAACAAAACTGAACACAGCCCACAAAAAGTTGCACCAAAAGTGTCCACCTCAGTTAACTGGGGAGGCTGAGCCACTGGACATTTAGGACACCTAGACACTCTATCAACTCAGGGAACCAGACAAAATTCGGAGATAAAGAAACAGGTCACAAATGAAAGAAATAGAAGAAAGCAAATGACTGACTATAGAGTTCAAAACCACAGTTATAAGGTTTTTCAAGAATTTTCTAGAAAAGGTTGCTAAATTTAACGAGACCCTCGAGGATATGAGAAAGGATCAACTAGAAAGTAAGCATACACTGACTAAAATAAAAAATAATATACAGAGATCCAACAGCAGACTAGAGGAACACAAGAATCAAGTTAAAGATCTGAAATACAAAGAAGCAAAAAACACTCAACCGGAAAAGAAAAAAGAAAAAAGAATCCAAAAATATGAAGATAGTGTAGGGAGCCTCTGGGACAACTTCAAGTGTATCAACATCCGAATTAGGGGGTGCCAGAAGAAAAGAGAGAGCAAGATACTGAAAATCTATTTGAAGAAATAATGACAGAAAACTTCCCCCACCTGGTATAAAAGAAATAGACTTACAAGTCCAAGAAGCGCACAGAACCCCAAACAAAAGAAATCCAAAGAGGACCACACCAAGACACATCATAATTAAAATGCCAATGGCAAAAAGACAAAGAGAGAATCTTATAAGCAGCAAGAGAAAAACAGTTAGTTACCTACAAGGGAGCACCCATACAACTGTCAGCTGATTTCTCAATAGAAACTATGCAGGCAAGACAGGAGTGGCAAGAAATATTCAAAGTGATAACTAGCAAAAACCTACAACCAAGATTACTCTACCCAGCAAAGCTATCATTCAGAATTGAAGATCAGATAAAGAGCTTCACAGATAAGAAAAAGCTAAAGGAGTTCATCTCCACCAAACCAGTATTATATGAAATGCTGAAAGATTCTTCAAGAAGAGAAAGAAGAAGAAAAGGTAAAGATAAAAATTATGAACAATACATACATATCTATCAACAAGAGAATCTAAAAATCAAGTGAATAAAAAATCTGATGAATAGAATAAGCTGATGAATAGAATAGAATCAGGGGCATAGAAAGGGAGGACTGACAATCTTCGGGGGTAAAGGGGTGTGGGTGGTGCCAGAAGAGACTGGACAAAAATCATACACCTATGGATGAGGACAGTGGGGGAGGGGGTAAGGTCATGGGGTGGAATGGTGTGGGAACCTGGTGGAGGGGAGCTATTGGGGTATAAAAAGAGGTACAACTGTAATAATCTGAACAAAAAACTGAAAAAGGAATTCCCATTCGACCCATTAATCCCTCTCCTAGGAATATATCCTAAGAAACCAGAAACACATATCAGAAAGAAAATATGCACCCCTATGTTCATAGCAGCACAATTACAATAGCTAGGATTTTGAAACAGCTTAGATGCCCATCAGCAGATGATTGGATCAAAAAACATCTACACAATGGAATACTATGCTGCCATAAAAAAGAAGGAATTCTCATCATTTGCAGCAACCTGGATGGAATTGGAGAACATCATGCTGAGTGAAATAAGCCAGTCAATGAAAGAGAAACACCACATGACCTCACTCATTTATGGATAATAAAGAACATTATAAACTGATGAACAAAAAGATAGATACAAAGACAGTAAAGCAACAAACAGACTCAAATTACAGCAGGCAGGATAGGGAGATATGGGGGAGATAAGAAATCAACCAAGGACTTGTATGCATGCATATAAGCAAAACCAATGGACAAAAAACTCTGGGGGAAAGGGCATGTATGGGGGGGGGGAGGGGGGATGGAAAGATATGTACACATATAATACCTTAATAAAAAAATTTTTTTTTAATTTATACAAAGAATTATATTATTGCCCTAGATGGTTTGACTTAGTGGATAGAGCATCGGCCTGTGGACTCAGGGGTCCCAGGTTCGATTCCAGTCAAGAGTATGTACCTTGGTTGCAGGCACATCCCCAGTAAGGGTGTGCAGGAGGCACCTAATCAATGTTTCTCTCTCATCAATGTTTCTGACTCCCTATCCTCTCCGTAAAAAATAAATAAAAAATATTTTTTTAAAAAGAATTATATTAATAAGCAATTAGGTAACTTAATAGTTATTTAACCACAAGTTTAAAAAAATAATTACTATGCAAATGGATTAACATGGGGTTTAGAGGACACCCTAAGAATGGTCTTAAAGAAACATAAATCTCAAAATGCACTGCATCCTAATTAAAACTTTACAATTTAAGTGAGTATTCCTGATCCTCTATATCCATATTAAATATATATTTTGACATTTCATACTTCATTAGTTTAATAACACAAAGAATCATTAAAAAATTAATCTATTCATAGTGAAGACAATTTCCACAGACCTTAAAATGATTTAAAATACTAAAATAATCAAAAATTATTTCCTTATCAATCAGAAAAAGAGAACCAGCAACAGAAAAATATTCTTAAACTGCATATAAAATGGTGAAAGATACCATTTTTTACCTGGGATTTCCTCTTAGTGCAGCATGATGTAGGGCGTTAAACCCATTATTGTTTGTAATGGTAACATCTGCTCCAGCTTCCAGAAGGACTGCCAGGATATCATCACGTTTTTTACTTATTGCATCATGAAGAGGAGTATCACCTTCAGAATCCTTTTTTTTTAATTTAAAAAGATTTTCATTAGTTCTTTTTCAATCATTCTCATCTGTAATTATTAATACTTATAATAAACTACTAAACAAAGAAACAAAAACAGAACCATATCCAACAACTATCAATAAAGCATACTATGGGTTAAATTTAATAAATGTAGGCAAGAAATAGCATTATAATGAATAAATTTATACTCAATCTAAATGATAAACATGCTGTAGCTTTAAAAAAAAAATGGAAGAAATTAAATACCCTCAAAATAATTAAATAAATAACAAAAATAAGTGAGGTGGAAAAGTGGCCAAAAAATTCATTCATTTAAAATCACTTGCTAATACCATTTTCCTACCATTAACTGCTGTACTCTGAAACTCCATACCAAACCTACACCAATCTCAGGGCCCATGGCAATTAATTAAAAGTCAATGGTTCTCAACCCTGGCTGTACTTCAGAATCTGTTGGGAAGCTCTTAAAATCTTGTAAATAAATAAATAAATAAATAAATAAATAAATAAATCATGTAATCCAGACTGTTCTTCAGATCAACTAACCTAGAATCTCTGGTTGGGACTCAGGCATTAGTAGTTTTTCTGAGTTTCCCAGGTGAACATATTGTAATATATTGTGTAGTCACTGTTAAGAATCATTACTCTAAACATTTTCAAAGGGCAGGAAAGAAGAGTATTTAACTCAAAGTGAAAACAAATGTAAAAGAAAATTTGGCAGTCTCATCCTATGTTTTTTTTTTCCAAGTTGATTACTTCTTTCAGTAATCAACCAATGTAGCAATAAATTTTTATTCATTATTAGTCATCTGTGTAAATGGGTAATTTAGTCTTCATTCATTTCATAGTTTTATAAATACTATTTTCAGTAAAGCCATATATAGTTACTACAGTGGCCAAATCTAGGCTGCCCATTTTTATAATTTTATTTACATAGCCACACACATGCATTTATGTATTATCTACTAGAGGCCCAGTGATGAAATTCATGAACAGGGGGGCTGGAAGCAGGATGAGGGTGGTGGTGTCCCTCAGCCCAGCCTGCACTTCTCCAATCTGGGACTTCTTAGGGGATGTCCAAATGCCAGTTTATACAATCCCACAGGCAGTCAGACATCCCTCTCACAATCCGGGACTGCTGCCTCCTAACCGCTTATCTGCCTGCCTGCCTGCCTGCCTGATTGCCCCTAACCGCTTCTGCGTGCCAGCCTGATCATCCACCAACTGCTCCCCTGCCGACCTGATCGCCCACAACTGCCCTCCCCTGCCGGCCTGATCACCCACACTGCCCTTCCCTGCCAATCATCTTGTGGCAGCCATCTTGTGATGTCGTGCAATGCCACCTAGGCTTTTATTTTATAGGACTAGGCTTTTATTACATAGGATGGCTACTTTGGTGCTACAATGGCAGCATTGGATAACTGTAATACAATAGAAATCATATGAAAGCCAAAAATATTACCTGGCCTTTCTTAAAATATACTTTTTAAATGATTTTTAGAGAGAAAGGAAGGTTGAGGGAGAGAAAGAAACATCAATATGAAAGAGTAACATCGATCAGCTGCTTCCTGCAAGCCTACCTACTGGGGATCAAGCCCACAACTGGGGCATGTGCCCTGACTACAAATCTAATCAGCAACCTCTTGGTGCAAGGGACAACACCCAACCAACTGAGCTGAGCCACAATAGCCAGGACTTACCTGGCCTTTCACAGAAAAAGTGCGCCAATTCTAAGCATATATTCATCCACCCACATAAAAAATTCCCAACACAAATTTAGTCCAACAATCCACCTTTCATCCTCCTATGGTACTAAAAATTCGTGATCTCCAACTTGAAATGGGCTCTTAACCTGATATTAGGAATACGCTTCTACAGGCTCTGATCTGTCCTCTCTCTAGCTCCCCACAGTAGCTATTTCAATGACCCTTTCTATACTGACCACTCCCCACTCACTCTCACCTAATAACTTTGCCTCCCATATCAGATACACAAAAGAAGTCAGCAGGTATAAATTACACACACCTTCAACGGATTAATACCATACCTCCAGCGCCTTCCCCATCTTTTAATCCTACCACCCTGTATCTCAGAAAAACTAGTCTGTAATAATCATCTAGCTGAACAGAATCTCTGACACTTTCGATCCTTGTCACACCCTCAGTCCCATTATTCCTGTTCTACATTGCTTTTCTAAGACCAATCCAAATTAATTCATCTGGTTGCTGAAATTTTGAAAGGGAATAATCATTTCATAGGTGACCCTCGCTTAAAAAAAAGTAGGTCCTACTATAATGAATAAACTTTAAAAACCTATGTATTTCCCAAAACAGAAAATCTCCTAAGACTGGACTAATGACTACACCAAGACTCTTAAATTACATAAGGCTAGAACTATTGTAAAATAATTTAAATAGCTATGAAGTAACTATTAGGAAATGCAACCTATTACACTTATTTAAGTTGCTGAAGCCCAATGTCATGATCAATAAAATTCAGTCAATTCAAGTAAAAAAGGAATACTTTTGCATGAAATCCCTATCCCCACCCTTCTATATAAGACAGATCTACTTGACACTTCCTTAAAAAGGCTTTTCTAAGAAGGAAGAGCTACCAATTTTATTACATTCTATACCTTTGGTATCACTTACTATGACTAATCATATAAAAAAGAATTGTAACACAGAAATGCTGACCATTGAAGCTAGTACTTCCCTTTAATAAGATCCTAGCAATATCTACAGAATATATTTTGTTAATGGTTTTACCTGTAGACTGGGATGACAACCAAAGTCCAATAAAGTCTTTACAACTTGAAGATGACCTTTATTGACAGCAATATGAAGTGGTGTCTGTCGGCGTTTGTTGCGAGCATTCAAGTCAGCACTGCCTCGATGTAATACTTCAATAACAGCACCTTCGTCTCCAAAAGCTGCATGGTGAACGGCTCTATCTCCATCTTTGTCCTAAACAGCAGAATTAAAATCTGAATTAATGAATATCTTAGAAAAATAAATAAATCTTGAAACTATAATTCATTAAGAACCAAATTGATATGAGAGAGAAAAAAATATTAAATAGAGCCAACAAAATAAGCACAAATTCACTTTAATAATGACTAACCTCAAAAATAAATGACGAATTCTAGATCCATACAGGGGTGGGCAAAAGTAGGTTTACAGTTGTGAGTATACAATACACAAAGTATATTCTTGTACAATTATTTAATACTGTATTATTTGTATTACAACTGTAAACCTACTTTTGCTTATCCGTGTATATTATATCAGACATAGATTGCACCAATAGTTTTATCAGAAGTAGTTCAATTCTTCATTACCCTAATTTATCAGTCATGATGATAAGCCAATATTAGGAAAATACTGATATATAACACTATACATAAACTTTTTTCCATTTAAAAATTTTACAAAGACTTTTCAAGGACATAAAAATTACACTAACTTAAGTTGAGTGGTTTTAAAAGAAAGATGCCAAAAAATGTGATCTCAATTAGTTTTAAGGGGAGAAATATATCAACATATTAACACTGACTATCTTTAGCTGGTGAGTATACACTTTTCTGTGTATTTAAGAAAAGAAAAACATTATAAATACCACTTCAAAAGACAAAAATGAAACACAACAAAACAACAAGAAAGCCCACAGTGTGGGAGAACATATTTGCAAATGATACCACTGATAAAGGTTTAATCTCCAACATCTACAAACAGCTTATACAACTAAATAAAAGGAAGATAAATAATCCAATTAAAAAATGGGCAATGGACCTAAATAGAATATTTTCAAAAGAAGACAGAAGGAAGGCCAAAAGGCACATGAAAACATGCTCAAAGTCACTAATTGTCCGAGAGATGCAAATCAAAACAATAATGCGGTACCATCTCACACCTGTCAGAATGGCCAACATCAACAAATCAACAAACGACAAGTGTTGGCGAGGTTGTGGAGAAAAAGGAACCCTCGTGCACTGCTGGTGGGAATGCAGACTGGTGCAACCACTGTGGAGAACAGTGTGGAGTTTCCTCAAAAAACTGAAAATGGAACTCCCATTTGACCCAGTAATCCCACTTCTAGGAATATATCCCAAGAAACTAGAAACACCAATCAGAAAGGATATATGCACCCCTATGTTCATAGCAGCACAATCTACAATAGCCAGAATTTGGAAACAGCCTAGGTGCCTGTCAGCAGATGATTGGATCCAAAAACTATGGTACATCTACACAATGGAATACTATGCTGCCATAAAAAAGAAGGAATTCTCATCATTTGCAGCAACCTGGATGGAATTGGAGAACATCATGTTGAGTGAAATAAGCCAATCAATGAAAGAGAAATACCACATGACCTCACTCATTTGTGGATAATAAAGAGCATTATAAACTGATGAACCAAAAGATAGATATAGAGACAGTATATCAACAAGTAGACTGTCAAATTACAGCGGGGAGGGGAGGAAGATCTGGGGGAGATAATAGATCAACCGAAGGACTTTTATACATGCATATAAGTACAATCAATGGACACAAAACTCTGGGGAGGGAGGGGATGTGTGGGAGGGAGGGAGGGGGGCAAAAAAAAAATCAATAAAATATATTAAAATAAATTTAAAAAAAGAAAAAAGAAAAAGAAAAAGAAACACAAACCAGCATAATTTCATACATCCAAAATTCTAAAACTATTTCAGAGGAATCCAGTAGGTATGCCTCATGTTTTGTAATTGGAGGAGATGAGAGTTGGAGAATTGGTGGTGGCAGGAGCCTCTCCCACCTGCAGGGCAGCACTAAGGATGTCTGACTGCCAACTTCAGACATCCCGAGGGCTCCCGAACTGAGAGAGGGTGCAGGCCAGGCTAAGCGAGACTAAACAAATTCTAATATACTGGTTCCCTTAAGAGGAAAAAAAAACGTAACAGAGGCCTCTGAGTGTCACAAATCAGAAAAAATCTTGACCCACATGATTTATAATCCCCTTCTCTCAACTTCCCCAGTATAATTCTTGGGTGAACCCAACTGGGATTCCAACAGCAGTTGGGGCTATTGCCAAGAATACTGAGGGATCACAGAAAACCAAGAAATACTTCAAGTTGTCTTTTATCAAATTTTTCTCTTCGATGAGAAAAGTCTTAGGTAAATATTAAATTTCAAGAATGAAAACAATTCATCTAATAATACAAAAGTAAGTACCATTTCTAGGACATTTTTACTGAAAATATTGTTCAAGCTTAGTTTAATTACCTCTGCTTCTACATCCACATTTTGTTTCAAAAGTAACTTCAAAATATCAACATGTCCATTCTGACTAGCAGCTTGCATAGCAGTATGGCCAGCACATTGTCCATTTACCTAAATAAAATAAAAAAGAATAAAATGTTACAAATCAGAAAGAGCTAATATATAAATATAGTATAGGTTCAAATTTAGTACATTGTATGATTCTATAAAAATAATTTACTCTACCCCAAATGTATTATTTAGAATCAAAGAACATATAAGATCTTCCCAGATAAGAAAAAGGTAAAGGAGTTAATCACCACCAAACCAGTACAAGGAATGTTAAAGGGTCTTCTTTAAGAAAAAGAAGAAAAAATATTTAAAATATGAATACAATACTAACAATACATATTTATCAACAACTACTTTAAATTCAAATGGATTAAATTCTCCAATCAAAACATATATCGTGGCATAATGGATAACAAAACAACATATGCTATCTACATATCTACAAGAGACTCACTTCAGATTGAAAGACCCACATAGATTAAAACAAAGGAATAGAGCAGGGGTGTCGAACTCAATCAGAAGGGGCCAAAATCTAAAATCCAGCCTAAATCGCGGGCCGAATGGTTTACTGAACAGTCATAAACTGACAATGTTAACCAGAAATGTGAATTTAAAATGAGTGGAACAATCTTTTCCTTAACAGTGCTGTTAACCAACTCACATGGTATCAAGCAAAACAGTAATATTGGTATCAAGCAAAACAGTAATATTGGAATGTACCTAAAATGCTCATTGTTTTGTTTTCTGGCTAGATGTCTGACACCGTTTTCCCCAGATCAATGAGTCAATGTTCGGTTTTATTTCTTGGGCTGTAGCAACCCGCAAAACAGCATGGAGGTTGTCATCGGTAATGCGTGATCTGTGCTTGTTTTTGTTCAGATTCATTATTGAAAACATCTGTTCACAAAGATAGGTGCTCCCGAACATGGATAGAATACGGGCAGCATGAAGTCGGAGCTCTGGCATTGAGTCAGGGGGCAGTAGAGGGTAGAAGTCCTCAATTTCAACATCCTGAAACCTTGATTTCAGGCCACTGTCAGACTGAAGCTCGATTATCTCCATCTGAAGGTGATGGGGCACATTGTTGATATCAACTGTAAAAGGATTGTCAAAGATGTCAAAGCCTGAGTGCTGTGTTCGAAAGTCAGAGAAGCGCCGCTCAAATTCACTTAGTAAACGGCTAACTTTGGTAGCCAGCCGACTGCAAGGAAAAGTACCAGAAATAGTGGTTGAGATACTCAAACAAACGGGAAAGTGGGCAATATTGTCCTGTTCCAGTTGGGACTTCCATAGTTGAAGTTTACGCTGGAATGCTGTGATCATGTCAGACATCTTCGTGATGACTTGTTTGCGTCCCTGCAGCTTCAGATTCAGTTGGGCGAGATGCTCGCATATGTCACACATCATAGCAAAATCACATAGCCAGGCGGGATCCGACAGTTCAGGCAAGGCCTTTCCTTTACTTTCCATGAAAAGAGCAATTTGTTCTCTGAGCTCAAAAAATCTTTTGAGGACTGCGCTCTTGCTCAGCCATCTTACTTCTGTGTGGTATGGCACGTCTCCATGCTCTGCACCCACCTCCTGTAAAAACTGCTGGAACTGGCGATGATTCAGGCCACGTGCCCGTATAAAGTTAATAGTTTTAATGACTGTGGTCATTATGTCATTCATGTCCAGAACTTTTCCACACATAGCCTCTTGGTGGATAATGCAATGATAAGTAATCAAGGGTGTGTGGCAGTGACTTTTTTGCATTCTTTCCTTCATTAGTCCAACCAAGCCTTTCTTTTCTCCGCACATTGAAGGTGCGCCATTGGTAGTTAGCCCCACCAACTTTTCCCAGGGTAATTTAAAATTATTTATAGATTTCTCCACAGCCTCAAATATATCTCTACCAGTCGTCGTCCCATGCATGGCAGCTACATCCAAAAGTTCCTCAGTGACAGAGAGGTCGGTCTTCGTAGCAAGTATAAAGATGGACAGCTGCGCTGTATCAGTGTTGTCTGTGCTTTCATCGATAGCAAGTGAAAAAGCGAGATAACTGCATGCCTGTTCGGCCAGCTGTGATGATAGATTTCCTGAGAGTTCTTGAACTCTATCTGCAATGGTGTTTCTTGACAAACTGACATTTTGAAAACTCTGTATCTAGTCTGGGCATACTTGCTCACACACTTTTAGCATGCATTGCTTCAAAAAGGCACCCTCTGAAAAACACCTTGAAGTACGGGCAATTTCTTCAGCCACTATAAAGCTTGCTTTCACTGCAGCATCATTTTTCGCTGTAGCCTTTGTAAACATTTGCTGCTGTGATTGTAGTTTGCCTTTTAGTTCTTTAACAATTTTATGCTTTTCTTCCAAAGTATATTTGCCATATTTAACATTATGTTTGGTGTCAAAATGACGACGTATATTGTACTCTTTCAGCACCGACACTGTCTCATAACACAATATACACACTTGTTTGCCCTCTCTAAGCACAAACATGTATTCATTTTCCCATTTGTCATTAAATTGTCTGCCTTCACTGTCAACTTTTCTTTTCCTGGACATTTTGGGATCAATATTGGCAGTAAAAGATGTAGTTTATTAGAAATCTGCGTTAGAAGGAAAAAGTTGAAAACTGCACAGGGATAGCTTGATTTGGCAGATGGAGTGGAGAAAAAAAAAGTCAGTCAATAAATGCCTGGCTGGGTACAGATAGCAGATTCTGTTGCGATTTTTATGCCTGCACTTTATGCCAGGAACTGGCAGCTTCTGCTGTGTATTTTTTATGCCCGCACACTCACTCTCTCCTCTGCTCTGCCACCCGCACAACCACATCGGATGCCGGACTATAGGTCACGCCTCCTGAATCTCACGTGACTTGTTATCTATGCGCATGCGTAATAGATAGCAAGTACGGCAGCCGGCGAAGCGGCCGGAGAGATCACAAGCCTCCTATGTTACCGCGCGTCATTGTGATGGAACGCAGCGGAGTGCAGTGATGACAGCGCGGTGCGGGCCACATTGCAAGGCCTGGCGGGCCGGATTTGGCCTGCGGGCCTTGTGTTTGACGTGTGGAATAGAGAAAGGTATTTCATGAAAATGGAAACAAAACAACAACAAAAAGCTGTTGTAGCAATACTTATACCAGACAAAATAGACTCTAAAACAAAGACTATAACAGGAGACAACAAAGGACTCAGCAATTCCACTTCCTGGTATTCATCTGTAGAAACTCAAAATACTAAATCAAAAAAATATATGCTACTTTATGTTCACTGCAGCATTATTTACAATAGAGAAGATACGGAAGTGACTATCAACAGATGAACGGATAATGAAATGGCACACATCCTATATAATAAAAATGTAGTATGCAAATTGTCCCCTCAACTGGGAATTGTCTGGGAGTTCAACCAGGGGGCAGGGCAGGCTGAAGGAAGGAGGGAGGCCCTGGCCGATGACGGCAGATGACCGGAAGAAGGGAAGGAGGCCCTGGCAACAGCAGGCAGCCAGGGGAAGGGAGAGAGTACCCAGCAGGCAGCTGGCAGCCACTAGGAACCCTATTTCATAGGGATGAGTTTTGTGCACCTCACCTCTAGTATTCAATAAAATTGTGACTCAACCATAAAAAAATGGGATGAGACATCACCATCTGCAACAACATAGATGACAACCCCAGCTTGTGCCCTGACTGGAAATCGAACCATGACTTCCTGGTTCATAGGTCAACACTCAATCACTGAGCCACACCAGCCGCGCAAAACTTTTTTTTTTTTAAATCACTATGTTGTAAAAAAAAATATATTAAAAAAAATCACTATGTTGTACACCTGAAACTAATATAATATTGTATGTCAACTATAATTTTTAAAAACTTTACATTCCAGTATGGAAAGAAAACTTTGGGGAGGGAAACTTCAATTATAAGATGTTCAAGAGGGAACTTCTATTATAAATGTTCCTCTAAAATTGAAGGTGCTATTAAAAAAAAAAACCAAATAAACAAACAAACAAACAAAAAACAGAAAAGCTAAAGAGAAAAAACAGTCCCATTAGTAAGAGCTAAAAAATTTTTTCAGTATTTAAGATTTTAAAAGTATATTTTGCTCTGGCCAGTGTGGCTCAGTAAGTTGGGCACTGAATTCCCTTTCCATGTCAGGGAACATGCCTGAGTTTCAGGCATAATCCCCGGTAGAGGGTGTGCAGGAGACAGCTGATCCATATTTCTCTCTCTCCCTTCCCCCTCCTATCTTTCTAAAAACCAATTTAAAAATATATATATATCCTTATACTTTTATTCATGGTACAAAACAACTGAACCTCAATAAACCTCTTAATAAAATATATCCTTGTTTTATTATCTTTGTTATTGAAAGTATCACAAATGTCCCCTATTTCCCCCCCATTATCCTTTTCTACCCGGTTCCCACCCTACCCCAAGCCTTCACCACTCTATTGTCTGTGTCCATGAGTTATGCATATATGTATATAAGTTCTTTGGTTTATCTCTTCTCACCCTACCTCTCCTCCTTTTGAGATTCATCAATCTGTTCCATGCTTCAATGTGTCTGGATCTATTTTTTTGTTCATCAATATATTTTGTTCATTAGATTCCACCAGTAAGTGAGATCACATAATATTTGTCTTTCTCTGACTGGCTTATTTCACTTAGCACAGTGGTCGACAAACTCATTAATCAACAGAGCCAAATATCAACAGTACAAAGGTTGAAATTTCTTTTGAGAGCCATATTTTTTAAACTTAAACTTCTTCTAATGCCACTTCTTCAAAATAGACTCACCCAGGCCGTGGTATTTTGTGGAAGAGCCATACTCAAGGGGCCAAAGAGCCGCATATGGTTCGTAAGCCACAGTTTGCCGACCAGGGACTTAGCACAACATTCTCCAAGGGTAAGCATTCCTTTTTACGGCTGTATAGTATTCCACTGTGTAAATGTACCACAGCTTTTTTTATCCACTCATCTACTGCTGGGCATTTGGGCTGTTTCCAGATCTTAGCTATTGTAAATTGAGCAGCTATGAACATATGAGGTGAATATATTCTTTTTGAATATTGTTTTGAGATTCTTAGGGTAGATTCCTGGAAGTGGGATCACTGGGTCAAACAGCAGTTCCATTTTTAATTTTTTGTTTTCAGTATGGCTATACCAGTATACACTGCCACCAACAGTTTACTAGAACATGTTTTTTCATTAAATGATGGGTTGTATTTAATTTATTTACGGTATCATACTAAAACAAGAGTAAAGTTTTATTTTCTTTTAAGCTTCAATCTACAAAGATAAATAGAACTAGCAAAACAGAAACCACACACACACATACATACATATACACACACACACACACACACACACACACACACACACACACTCTCTCTCTCTCTCTCACATATACAGGAAGCTGAAAAGCAGACCTAAACCTACTATGAAAAATAGCTATGAAAAAATATGAAAAAGGTAGCAACCCTTTTTCCAAGGAAGCCCAAAAAGCTCAAAGTTGATGAGCTCTGAATATGGGGTTAATATGGTAGTGGATGTTAAATACAAAAGCATCAGTTGACAGTCTTCTTAAAAATCATTTAGATCCCTGGATTCCCCACCTCTGCACAGCTGCTCCACCCTTACACTAACAGAAACTTGGAAGTTTATTCTCCGGAAAAGGTAGTGTCCCTGGCCACTGTTAAGGATGGGGCAAAGAACTAAAAACAGAAATTTTATGTAAATATTTACAGGCCAAGTCCTAAGAACCCAGGCCCTCTCCCCTTAATCAATATTCATAAGGTTGGTATCAGGTTTATAACTAGCAGAAGAACTGGAGATCTTTCTGGGGAGTCAGACCAGCCCAAGAGAAAAGACCTAAAGACCAATACCCAAGAATAATCCAAGGAAATGTCCAGATCACTCGATAGTGAAAACCAGAGTCAACAAACACACACACACACACACACACACACACACAGACCTTTTACTGAACACTCTTATACATAAATGAACAACCAAAAAACACCAACATCTGAGAAATGGCCTCTGACATGAAAAGATTGTATGGAAGAAGTTAAAGAGGTAAAAATAGTTGACTCTGGAAGAATGAGAAAATAAGGTTGAGAAGGAGATGCCATTTTTCATAACAAATCTTGAACTACTTTTCCCTTAAATTTTTAGAATGTATGACATTGTTAAAAAAAATACCTAAGATACCAATAATTAAATTTTATTTATTTAAAATTTAATACCAGTAATTAAATTTTAAAAAATAAATATAAAATGTAAACCTGCTGGATTGAATATGAAAAAAGTCTGACTCTTTATTTCAAATACAAAAACATTGGCACTTTCCTATCAGTAACAAATAATTTGTGATATATCTTACAACCAATCAAAAAACCACTTTGTTGCCAAAACCGGTTTGGCTCAGTGAATGGAGCATCGGCCTGCGGACTGAAGGGTTCCAAGTTTGATTCCGGTCAGGACATGTACCTTGGTTGTGGGAACATCCCCAGTAGGGGATGTGCAGGAGGCAGCTGATCGATGATTCTCTCTCATCGATGTTTCTAAATCTCTATCCCTCTCTCTTCCTCTCTGTAAAAAAATCAATAAAATATATTTAAAAAAACAAAACACCACTTTGTTGTGCTATTGCAATTGCTCTCTCAAATAAGCCTAAAGTGCTATGTGAGCTCATAGGATTAAGATATTTATACCTTACAATTATAGATCTGATCTTCTTCAAACTGTCTAGCATATCTACATAAAAAGATGTGGCAATAAAATCCATCATAAACACAGAAACTACCACTCCACTTACAATCTTGGTTGGCACTAAATATCATATTGGTGCCAGCATGGCAGCAATGGCAAAGCCAAAGGATGACTAAGTAAGAATCAAAATAACCATTTAAAATAAGGGCTTATATGAACAGTAAGGTTACAACATAAAATATTAAGATTTATAAAGTGCATGACATCTAAGTCATCCGCCTTACAAACTATGAGATAGTCAAGTTTCACAGGAAAGAAAGGGTAAAAAGTATAAGTATTTTAAAAAGGATAGAAGCCGAAACCGGTTTTGCTCAGTGGATAGAGCATCGGCCTGAGGGCTGAAGGGTCCCAGGTTCAATTCCGGTCAAGGGTATATACACTGGTTGCGGGCACATCCTAGGTAGGGGGTGTGCAAGAGGCAGTTGATCGATGATTCGCTCTCATCGATGTTTCTAACTCTCTATCCCTCTCTCTTCCTCTCTCTGTAAAAAATCAATAAAATATATTTTTAAAAATAAAAGGATAGAAAATTGCTTATAATATTTACTAAAATATATTTAAAACACATGATGATATTTACATGAGAAAAATTTACTCAATTTCCCAAAAGGACATTAATCACTTAAAAACCTAAATATAAATTTTGTCAATCATAAAATAAAGGCCACAATGTTAAAATAAGAAAATTCCAATAACTTTTAGATATGTATACTGAAAAATGATGACTGGTGTCTTCTTTAAAATATCTCAGAAAAACAAGGACTAAAGCGCATGTGGCAGTCTTAATAAATATTGAAGTAATGTGGCAAAATCTAAATAACTGTTGAAGTATAAGGTTCATTATACTATTCTATTTTAGTGTATCCTTCAAAAAAAATTTTTAAATGCTCACATCCACATCTGGTCTTTTTAGCAAATCTTCCACTTTAGCAACATCTCCATTGGCAGCAGCCTTAACTAGTTCTTCATTGAGGTCACCAGATTCTTGGGTTTCAAATAATTTCTTCAAGAGTTGGGAGAGTCTTTCTGTAAAGCATAAATAAAGCTGCTAATACAGGAGAATCTCAAATTTTAACTACTAACAGACAAGCATTAACCATATGTCTATAATATATACCTCTTTCATTATTTTATAATGTTATTTTTCTATTATGCTACAGATATTACCCATGCAAGTTACTATTACTATTACATATATATATATATATATATATATATATATATATATATATATCTGCATTAAATTTGAGCCCATAATTATTTCAAGTGTTTTCCAATTTCTATGTCTTTCAAGTTACAATTTCAGAAAAAGCAGTTATAATAATAATTCAAGTCATACCAAAGATTTTAGAAATGGACACATCACAATAGGACTACCATGATACAAACTTCCTTTGAGGTCTTAAGCATACCAGCACAGTGAGTCTCTGACCCCAATGCTACAGATCTTAGAATAAATCAACAGATCGATGATTACGACTCAAAAGAAATGTAGTCTCTATAATATCAGGGGAAATATTTTAGAGATAAAACAATTTTCAGTTGAAAATAGACATCTAAGTGTTAACAACTTATCTCAAAGGTGCCCATTGATTAGTTTAGACCAGTGTTTCCCAAAGTGTGGTACGCGTACCCCCAGGGGTACAGGAAGAGTTTGGTGGGGGTACGCATTGCACCGGAGTTTGGTGGGGATATGCACTGCACCGTGCTTAGCTGCACCTAATTCTACGTTCTCATGAGTGAGGGGTACTCAGCGTTACGAAAATTATAGGAGGAGTACACATATGTCAAAAGTTTGGGAAACACTGGTTGAGACTAAAATGAGAAAGAAATAGGGATTTACAGACCCTTTCCTAACATATTTTTTCTAAACAGCATTAATCAGTAGAAAACCTACTCAGGTTTTACTCCTTAATTCTTAGATCTTATTGTAAAGAAACAAAATCACACAATGGGGTAGAGGACTACCAAGTTCACATTGCTTGAGAGAAAAATATTAACCTTTTAATTTATATGTAGTCAGCCTATTGTGATACCATCTAACCTCAAGGTAAAAATAAACACCATCTGATTTAAACTGTAAGCACACTAGCAGATTTCAGCAGGAAGTAAGAAACAGAAGCAGAGGAAGTGGAAAGCAGTACAAAATAAAATTGGAAGTCACTCTATGTTTTCCTTTACTTTCTTTTTTTTTTATTAATATATTTTATTGATTTTTTTTACAGAGAGGAAGGGAGAGGGATAGAGTGCTAGAAACATCGATGAGAGAGAAACATCGACCAGCTGCCTCCTGCACACCCCCTACCGGGGATGTGCCCGCAACCAAGATACATGCCCTTGACCGAAATCGAACTCGGGGCCTTCCAGTCCACAAGCCGACGCTCTATCCAGACCAAACCAGTTTCGGCTCCTTTACTTTCTTAATATTTATTTTAATGTTATGTTTCTACCTTCTTTTCTGGATGACAACAATATATCTCAGTAACTTATAATTTGTTGTAGAAAGAACTGAGTCTGTGTACATAAAGCTGGAGCATAGAAATGAAAGACTAAGCTCGAGTCTACCCAAGCATCCAGTATATTCATATCTCAACATGGTTTTCTACTCATTGTAGAATACTATTATTGAATACTAAGAGAAAAAATATGCTGAGATGTAAAAATATCCAGAAAGAAAGCCATCTGCTAGCAATCATGTTGACAACAAAAGGAAAATAAAACACTCTAAGAACGTGATGGTTCTTTGGCAGAAAACAAAAGTTCTGACTTAAGAAAAGAATGTTCAATTTTAGATATCTTAGATTTGATATGGAGAAGCACTCAATATATCTAAGATAGAGCACATATTTATGGAACTTTTCCAGTGCGTACCTCAGCCAGAACAAGGGTTGTTCATTGTATGGGGGGGTGGAGAGGAGTGTTAGGAAAAAAATTATAAAAAGTTTAAAAGGCACTTAACCATCAAGCAGAGTTATGTGATCTGAGAGAAAACCAAGAACACATACAACATTAGTGGTATATGAGAACTAGGAAATTAGCAAAGGTTCTATGTAAATCATATTACTTTTAAAGAAACACAAAACAAAACATACCACCAGATGCATTGCTAATGGCTGATCCTGCGGATGCCACCTTGGAAACTGCTGCTGGATTATATGTCCAGGATGTGCCACAAACTTCCACTTTTAAATCGCTGTCTGAATAAATCTGTTGTACTCGGCCAACTTTACCTAAAGTCTTTTAAAAAAAAAATTAGATTCATGTTTCCAAGTCCACAGTATATACCATAAAAATCAAACACCTGGTTTTACATGTTTAAATAATTTATTTTATTTTGTTCCTAAAGGAAAACTTTTATATATATATTGTTTATTGGAGCACTAGTATATAAATATTGAAATTTGTCTTTCAGGTGTTCTTCCTGTACCTACTTTCTTCACTAATACTTTTATTTTAAATAATAGTATTTAGTCCCAATTAGTACCTTATCCCTATTTTACATTCTCCACTAATGACTCTATCAAAAAATATTAACTGTAGTCCTTTTTGGACCTTCCCTGGCTAATTTAACTGGAATAACTTAGAAAATAAAAGGCGTAATTATGCCTAGCTGCCAATGAAGAACACAATTCTCAAAGAATTATGCTAATTTAGTTTATAAAATTAAAGTACTTTTAAAACTTAACATAAGCATGATATAATTCCTAGTCCAAAACTATTTTACATATACTTACTGGGAGCATAGCTTCAGCCCATTCTCCATGTCCTCTTTGCAGAAGCTTAATTCTTTCCAGATCATAACAAACTTGTACAAGATCACCCACTTGAAACTGTGAGGTGCCTCCTTCTGCACCTTGAGCAGCATCCCCACTTCGGACAATGTTGGCTTTAGTGAGAACAGCAGGATTGAAGGTCCACCTAAGAATCAAAGCCAAAACTCTAAATGAATTGTTTAATTTTAACAAAACATTTTTTAATATATTTTATTGATTCTTTACAGAGAGGAAGAGAGGGATAGAGAGTCAGAAACATCCACGAGAGAGAATCATCGATCAGTTGCCTCCTGCACACCCCCCCACTGGAGATGTGCCCGCAACCAAGGTACATGCCCCTGACCGGAATGGAACCCGGGACCCCTCAGACCGCAGGCTGATGCTCTATCCACTGAGCCAAACCAGTTTCAGCAACATTTTTAATTAAGTATTACTGCCTGGAGAAAAGCCTTATAACACATCAAAAAAAGTAAAGTCATCCATTATAATTACCTCCTGAATTATTTATTTCATTTTATAATTTTAAAATACAAATTTGGGAAAAGAATCATCATAATATCACCACCCGAATATGATATACTTCTGTGAAGATTTATTACCCTTTGCATATTAAAAAGTTATAAAAATAATACACACTCATTTTTAAAAATTAAAACTTTTCAGAAACATGTAAAATATGTGAGCCTTGAGAAGGAGCATATCTGCCAAGAAGGACTCCTTAGGGTTAACTGGGCCCAAGTCTAGCAGCCATGTGGACAGAGGCCTCTCACACATTTTGCATTTGAGGGGAAAACTGCTCCCGGTTTCTGAATTCTGAGTCAATTCTTATAAGGGAGTTCCTAGTATCATCTTTTGACCAATGGACTGAGACCTGCCACATCCAATCAGAACTGTGCAGCTGTATCATTTGCTCTATCTGACTAATCAGAGCTGCCCCATAATGACCAAATCAGAATAAACAATTTTGACCAATGAGGACCATGCCATTTGGATTAATCAGAACTCTGCAATATCAATTCCTCATTTGTATAAAAATTCAGCCAAAACCGGTTTGGCTCAGCAGTAGAGCGTCAGTCTGTGGACTGAAAGATCCCAGGTTCGATTCCAGCCAGGGGCATGTACATTGGTTGCGGGCACATCCCCGGTGGGGGGTGTGCAAGAGGCAGCTGGTCGATGTTTCTCTCTCATCGATGTTTCTGTGTCTCTATCTCTCTCCCTTCCTCTCTGTAAGAAAATCAATAAAATATATTTTTTTAAAAATAATAATTCACAGAAACCAGGGAGGAACTTTCTCTATGAAAGATAGTATTTTCAGTTTTCACCAGAGGTTGCATTTCCTAGGTTTGTAAATCTGAATAAAATTTCTTCTCTTTCCACAACTGAGATTGGTAATTTTTGTTGACAAATGACAGTTTCATTTCACACACACACTTGGATCACCATTCCCCACTGTACTAGAAGCCACTGTTAATACTACATTGTGTATCCGTGCAGATCTATCAATATGCTGAGTGACAGCTATAATGTAGGAAGAGAATTGTTGTTTTTTTTTCCATAAGTAGAATTATTATATAACTAGAGGCCTGGAGCAGAGCCAAGCCTCCTGCTTGCTCCGTGGCCAGCAGCCATTTCTGTTTGGATTTGTTTACCTTCTATCATTGAAACTTTGCAGCCTTGAGTGGAAGCCTAGGCCAGCAAGGGCTGGTGGGAAGCTTGGCTTCCTCCATTGCCTGGGAAACCCAACCCTCCCTCTTGCTCTCTGTGGCTGTAGCCATCTTGGTTGGGTTTGTTGCATACTTGCTCTGATTGGATGGTGGGCGTTGCTGGTGGGTATGGCTTGTGGGTATAGTGGAGTGATGGTTAATTTGCATATAACTATTTTATTAGGTAGGATTCTGTGGCTTTCTTCTCAGAAAATGTATCTGGGAAGATTTATTTTTCAATGTCACAGACATGGAACTACTCATTTCAGTTTAATGGCTATAGAATATTCTATAACATGGATAAATACTAATTACTTAACCATTCTATTGACTATCATTTAAAGTATTTTCACCCAGCCAGCATGGCTCAGTGGTTGAGCGTCAACCTATTAACCAGGAAGTCACCGGCTCATTTTCCAGTCAGGGCTGTGCCTGGGCTATGGGCTCGATCCCCAGTTTTGGGTGTGCAGGAGGCAGCTAATCAATGACTCTCTCTCATCACTGATATTTCTCTCTCTCACTCCCTCTCTGAAATCAATAAAAATATTTTTTTAAATAAAGTATTTCCATATTTTCACTACAGTATTACAAACAAAACTATAAAGAACATCCCTTTATGAACATCCTTGTGCACATGGGGTATTTCATTAGAAATTCTTGGAAGGACTGTAACAATTTGTTTACAATTCTAATAAATAGAGCCAAACTGCTCTACAGAGTCCACCATTTCTCCATATCAGTGCCAATCTCATGGCTAAAATAGTATTTATATAGTTTTAATTTGTACCCTGGAAAAAAAAGGTCATGTGAAAACACAGTGACACATCCACTCACAGGGGAGAAGGCCAGTGCAGACAGAGGCAGAGAAATGAGTGCTGCATCTACAAAAGCCAAAGAATACCAAGGACTGCTAGTAACCACTAGAAGAGAGAAGAAAAGCATAGGCAGATTCTCCTAGAGCCCCCAAAAGACCCTAATCTTGTCAACATCTTGATTTTGGACTTCTTATCTCCAGAATTATGAAAGAATAAATTTTGGTTGTTTTGAGACATCCAGTTTGTGGAAATTTGTTATGGCAACCCTAGAAAACTAATATACAATCTAAACAATATTAAATCTTCCAATCTATAAACAGGAGAGGTCTTTCCATTTTTTTTCATCTTCTTTGATTTCCTTCAACAATGTTTTAAAGTTTTTAGTGTACAAGTCTTGTACTTTTAAGGCTAAATTTATTCTTAAGTATGTGATGCTATTTTTTTTAAAATATATTTTATTGATTTTTCACAGAGAGGAAGGGAGATAGAGAGCTAGAAACGTCAATGAGAGAGAAACATCGACCAGCTGCCTCCTGCACGCCCCCTACTAGGGATGTGCCTGCAACCAATGCACATGCCCTTGACCGGAATCGAACCTGGAACCCTTCAGTCCGCAGACCGACACTCTACCACTGAGCCAAACTGGTTTCGGCTGTGATGCTATTTTAAATGGAATTGTTTTCTTAATTTCATTTTTAGACTCCTCATTGCTAGTGTACAAAGATACAAGTTATTTTTCTCTATTAATATTGAATCCTACAACTTTGCTGACCTCATTTATTAGTTCTAATAGTCTGTAGGTTCCTTGTATTTTTCTATATACAAGATCATGTCACCTGTAAACTGAGATAATTTAACTTCTTCCTTTCTTTCTTCTTACTTTTCTTTTTCTTGCCTAACTGTCTCAGCTAGACTCTCTAACAATACTGAATAGAAGTGGGGAAAGCAGATAAGCTTGTTTTGTTCCCGATCTTCAGGGAATAGCAATTAGTCTTTCACCACTGAGTATGATATTACCTGTGGGTTTTAGAAATTCCCTTCTATTCCTACTTTATTTAGAGTTTTTATCATAAAAAGATGTTAGATTTTGTCATATGCTTTTTCTGCATCTCTTGACATGATCCTATATAATAAAAACCTAATATACAAATTGTCCCCTCAACCGGGGGTTTGACCAAGAGTTCGACCACTTGCTATGATGTGCACTGACCATCAGGCGGCAGCACAGAACATGGCAGGTGTCGGCGACACGGTGCTGGCTATGGGCGGCAGTGGAGGTGCTGTCGGCCCCATTGGGCCCCGACAAGAGTAGACTGCAGCAGGATGGTGGAGCAGGTGAGCAGGCGGCACTAGGCCAAGGCAGATGCAAGCTGGGTCCAATTGCCCCGCCAATCGCCTCACAGATGGCAACCAGCAGCAGTGGGGGGGGAGAGGGGGCGCACCGGCTGGCTCCCAGACACTAACGGAACCAGGAGGGGGCCCAACGACTCAGGCAGAAGGTGGCATGTGGGGTACATGCCTTTCCAAACCAGATACTAGCATTTTGATGGACAGCCAGGCGTAGAGAACGGCACCAGTGCACAAATTTCATGTACTGGGCCTCTAGTCATGTATCAAATCTGAATACAATTATAATAGAACTAATTCTATACTTTGGTAAGCAACTCAATGTTAATTTTTCTAATTCCCTAAAGAACCTCAGGAGGAACTGGGTAAAAAAGATAAAAGGATTAAGAAGTACAAATTGGTTATTACAAAATAGTCACAGGGATGTATAATATAGAATAGGAAATATAGTAAAAAATATTGTAATAACTATGTATGGTTCCAGGTGAGTACTGGAAGTATTGGGGGAACACTTTGTAAAGTATATGATTGTCTAACCACTATGCTGTTCACCTGAAACTAATACAAAAGGTATTGAATGTAAACTGTAATTGAAAACAAAAAAAGTTACCGAAACTGGTTTGGTTCAGTGGATAGAGCATTGGCCTGTGGACTGAAAGGTCCCAGGTTCAATTCTAGTCAAGGGCATGTACCTTGGTTGCAGGCACATCTCCAGTGGGCGATGTGCAGGAGGTAGCTATTTCTCTCTCATCGATGTTTCTAGCTCTCTATCCCTCTCTCTTCTTCTCTGTAAAAATCATAACCTTGGTTTCTTTATAAACATATCAGCAATAAAGTTGAACAATTATTCAATTTAACTACTGCTTTTTCTTTAAAATGCCATAAAATATAAGAAAATTAGGCATATTTTGAACACTAAAGAGCAAATACATAAAAGGTACAGGCCTTGTCTCCAAGAAACTCACAACCTAGAGGTCAAATAAATAATCATTTTAATAGATAACAGGAGACTTAAACAGATGAATAATGTATGCATACACCAAGGAGAGCGGAAGGAGAGAGGAGATTCCCAAATATATAAGCTCAATATTTATAGGGTGCAAACCAATTAATCCAGAAAAAGAGGGTATAAAGGAAGAAAGGTCATTATGCATGAAGGGAATGGTATATGCAAAGGAACAGAAATGAGAAAATGCATGTAACTCTGTGTTGCTGTTAAGGATTAGTATGTGTTTGTGTCTGTGGCAGAGAAAGCTGAGTTACCAGTTACCAGATATGGAGATATGGGCCAGAAGAATATTAATTTTATCCTTCTCATTCATAGATGGACTCACTGTGAACACAACTTTTTGCTATACTTGGACCTAATGATGACACAATATACTGTATAGTCTGCTCCCTGAGGAGAGACACAAACACTTCTTGACATTTATTCCCTTCTACCTTACCATCATATTCTGGATTTTTACCTACTGAGAACTACCTTTAAAGACTCTTTGATTATATCACATTATTTGCTTTCTTTAAGGCTCTTTTCTCTAGATTTGCTACTACTGAAAATTAAGAAATAGCACCAACCTATTTCCACTTGGATACTGTACTACAATGTCATGATCTTCATCAATGCCACAAACAGTTCCAGTTGTAGTTAAAGTCTCAAACATGCCATCAGTCCATCCTCCATGACCATGCTGCAAAGACTGTACAATTTCTAGGTCAAGATCTATATTTACCAAGTCACCAATCTGCAACCCACCAGGATTCCTGTTGCCATTCTGCTCACCTGTAATTGCAGAGAAGGTGGACGAAGGAAAAAGAAAGTTATAGCAACAACATGCAACTGCATTATTTTTAAACAAAAACAAGCACCAAGATTTCAAGGATTCATAATCATGAAACATTTCAATGAGGGATTCAAAATGTGTATGTTGATTCTATCCTTTTCTTGTGAAGGGAAGACACAAGAGTTTCTTTTTTTTTCCCCTTTGGTGCCAAAACCTGGGATCACAAGAAAGTTTCTGGTAGCAAGAGAAATGGATACTCTCAGCAAAAATATATGTATTTCTTTTATATTCTCCTTTAAAAATAATAAGGTGTCATGCAAGAAAAGAACACTTTTTATCAAAAAGGTAAATCCAATCATTTGGAAAGAGGAACACAGAGTCTACATGAGAAAGAAAAGCATTCAGAGACTAAAGGCTTATTAATCAGATGAATGTAGTAAATGTTCATCATGACAACAATAAAGAATCTATAAAATTAAGGTAGTTTTGGTTTTCTTATTCTTTTTTATATTAAGGATATGTGAAATTATATTTATTATGTTACCTTAATTTTGGGAGTTGTTTTTGCATTAGAAAGGAAATTCTAAGGATTCCATAAGCTATAAATTGTCAGATTCTATTCTTAATAGTGAAGAGATGTTATAATACAAAATTTTTCAGTAAGTTTACATTTAAAAGAAAAAGTTTCAAATATATTATGATATAAATGGCATGTCAATTTTCAAGATATGACAACTCAGTGTCTACATAAATCATTTAAAAAGAACAAATCCGCTGAAACTGGTTTGGCTCAGTGGATAGAGCGTTGGCCTGCGGACTGAAAGGACCCGGGTTCGATTCCGGTCAAGGGCATGTACATTGGTTGCGGGCACATCCCCAGTAGAGGGTGTGCAAGAGGCAGCTGATCAATGATTCTCTCTTATCGATGTTTCTAATTCTCTGTCCCTCTCTCTTCCTCTCTGTAAAAAAATCAATAAAATATATTTTTTTAAAAAAAGAACAAATCCTTGCCCTGGCTGGTTTGGCTCAGTGGCTAGAGCTAGAGCATTAGCCTGTGGGCTGAAGGGTCCCAGGTTCTATTCCCAGGGGAACATTCCCAGGTTGTGAGTTCAATCCTCAGTATGGGGTGTGCAGGAGGCAGCTAATCTAAGATTCTCTCTCATCACTGATGTTTCTATCTCTCTCTCCCTCTCTGAAATAAAAATACGTATTATTTTTAAAAAGGACAAATTCTTTAAAACGAAAATAAGACCAAAAAAATATATCTTCAAGTAGCTTTAATGGTAATTAATTTGTTAAAAGTCCACTTAAATATTTTTCCAATTCCATGAACTCTGATCCATTATTTAGTTATTTCCTCAAGTCTGCTAACTCACCTAGCACAGGGCAGTGATCTCTGTAGAAAGAACCTCCTTTGGCATCCTGGACACACTTCAGATCAGACTAAGAAGGAAAAAAAAAAAAAATCACTCTCGAAAACATCAAGTACAGCTCAATACCTAAAGTAAACAAAATGTTCATTAGAAACATACTCTCAGCAGAAAAAGGTGATGGGATTAAAAAGTACAGATTGGCCGAAACTGGTTTTGCTCAGTGGTAGAGCGTCAGTCTGCGGACTGAAAGGTCCCGGGTTCAATTCCCGTCAGGGGCATGTACGTTGGTTGTGGGGACATCCCCAGTAGGGGGTGTGCAAGAGGCAGCTGGTCAATGTTTCTCTCTCATCGACATTTCTAGCTCTCTATCTCTCTCCCTTCCTCTCTGTAAAAATCAATAAAATATATATATATATTTTTTTAAAAAGTACAGATTGGCAGTTACAAAACAGCTATGGGGATTGTGAAGTACAGCATCAGAAATATGGTCAATAATCCTATATAATAAAGAGGTAATATGCAAATTAATCCTCATGCCTTCACAAGATGGCTGCCTACGACCAGGCTGGCAGGGGAGTTTGTGAGGGTCGACCAAACAACTGAACAAGCAGGCTGCATGGGGGGTTAGTGAGAGATGACCAAACAACTGAACAGCAAGCTGCATGGGGCTACCAGGCCAGCAGGGGGGCCATGACAGAAGACCAGGCTAGCAGGGCGGGGCAGTAGGGGGCAACCAGGCCAGCAGAGGGGGCAGTTGGGGGCAATTAGGCTGGCGGGGGGGAAAGGGGGGCAGTTAGGGAAGACTAGGTCGGCAAGAGAGGCAGTTAGGGGTGATCAGGTCGGCATGCAGAGGAGTAAGAGGCAATCAGGATTGGGAGGGTGGGGGCGCCTGGGGCAGTTAGGAACAACCAGGCAGGCAGGCAAGTGATTAGGAGCCAGCAGTCCAGGATTATGAGAGGGATGTCTGACTGCCGGCAATCCCTGCGATCGGGCCTAAACCGGCAGTCGGACATCCCCCAAGGGGTCTCAGATTGGAGAGGGTGCAGGCTGAGCTGAGGGGGAAACTCCCCCCATGCACAAATTTCATGCAGCGGGCCTCTAGTCTACACTAATAAAAGGATAATATGCTAATAAGACCAGGAAATCTTCCGTACATCCTTCTGGACAAAGCCATGGTGGCAGGGCCAAGGCACAGGCAGTTGGGGGCGAGCAGGCCAGCAGGGGAGCAGTTGGGGGCAATCAGGCTGACTGGGGGCCAGATAGGGACCATCAGGCCAGCAGGGAGGAAGTTGGGGACAATCAGACCAGCAGGGGGGGCGGGCAATTAGGGGGCGAGAAGGCTGGCAGGGGGAACAGTTGGTGGCAAGATAAGGCAGACAGTGGGGGGAGCAGTTGGGGGAGATCAGGCTGACATGCAGAGTGGTTAAGGGCAATCAGCCAGGCAGGCAGGTGAGCGGTTAGGAGCCAGCAGTCCCAGATTACGAGGGAACAGGTCTAAACCAGCAGTCACACATCTCCCGAGGGGTCCCAGATTAGAGAAGGTGCAGGCCGGGCTGAGGGACAACCGCCCCCCCCCACCCCCGTGCACAAATTTTGTGCAGCGGACCACTAGTATTGTAATAAAAAAAGAAAGCAGAGGGGAAGTTTATATTTTAGAAACATGAAATAGGGGGCTTGAATATATATATACTGATTACACAACTATTACATTACTATTATACTTTATTATTAATATAAACTTTAGAGTAAACTTCAAAAACAAAAAAAATAATTTTAACATCTACTTTTATTTGTATTTTTACTAGATGCCCAGTGCACGAATTCCTGCACCAATGGGATCCCTGGGCCTGACCTGCAGGATCAGGTCAAAACTGAGTCTCCAACATCCCCCAAGGGGTCCTGGATTGCAAGAGGGCACAGGCCAGGCCAAGGGATCCCACCAGTCCAGGATCAGGGCTAGGGAGGGACATGGAAGGTTGGCCAACAGGGGAGGGATCGCGGGAGGGCTCCAGGACATGTCCACCCATCTTGCTCAGTCCTGATCATCCAGACCCTAGCAGCAAGCTAACCTACTGGTCAGAGCATCTCCCCCCTGGTGGTCAGTGCACATCATAGCAAGCGGTTGAGCAGCCTTAATATACCGTTAGCATATTACACTTTGATTGGTTGAACGAACAACCGGATGATTGGAAAATTAGCATATTAGGCTTTTATTATATAGGATCAGCCACCAAAGCCTAGAATGCAAATATTCCATAAAAATCTTATTATAATACTATTTTCTATGCAGATTATTTTAAGTCTTAGATTCTTACACTGACTATTAAATAGTTCAAACAAATATAATATGTAAAGTTTATTAAATCTTCACTTTATAGATTTCCCCTCCTATTGCATATTCATGATGATTCAGATAGCTGTATTCTGACAAAAAGATGACAAAAGAAAAAATTCAAAAATAGAATTATTTCCCTTCTTTCATCCATCCAATATTTTCTTTTATGGTTCTTACTACTTACCATGCCCTCAAAGCCAACTCTGTAAAGGTTCTTAGCACCATTATCCCAGAGAACATATGCTGCACTGTGTGGGCTTGATGCACTCCAGTCTTGGATTTCTGTTACCTATAAGAGAATTTTTTGAGAAAAATTTTTAAAGGGAGATAGAAGAGGTTGGTTCTTTTAGTTATATTTAAATCTTCAAAATTATTTGTTATTCTGTAAAAAAAAAAAAAAATCATTCCTCAATGATAAAAAGTCTCAAATATGAAATGTTATTTACTTCAGTGCATCTATTGTAGCATTTAGGATAACACAGAGTATACATAATTCAACACTTATTTTTTTTACTGAATCAATGAATGGTCAACAAAAGCTGACCATAAAATCCAAAATAAATAAATCCAACAACCCATTTAGCCTAATATTTCTGGCTATCCCACCCCAGTGAAACAGGTTCCACACAATTCCCTTCAGAATAATTGCTAAAACTGACCCTAAACAGCTCTACACACTACCTGAGAATAGTAACAAGAGTTAAGTGGACTAGGCAACAAAGAAGCTGCTTATTACCCCCTAAGACTCAAGTCTTTGAAAGAATGGAATATAAAACAAATGAAATTGTAGCCCTAACTGGTTTAGCTCAGTGGTCAGTCTGTGGACTGAAAGGTCCCAGGTTCAATTCTGGTCAAGCGCATGTACCTTGGTTGCGGGCACATCCCCAGTAGGGTGTGTGCAGGAGACAGCTGAATTGATGTTTCTCGCTCATCATTGTTTCTATCTCTCTATCCCTCTCCCTCTACCTTCCTCTGTTTAAAAAGTCAATAAAATAATTTATAAATAAATTTATACTAATAAAAGATTAATATGCTAATTAGACCAGGAGACCTTCTGGACAAAGCCATGGTGGTGGGGCCCAGGCAGAGGTGGTTAGGGGCTATCAGGCCTGCAGGGGAAAGCAGTTACTAGGGAGATCAAGTAAGTTAAGAGTATTAAGTAAAGCTCAGGGAGGGCTAACCCAAACAGATTGTTTAGAATGGCATTCTGAGCAACAAAGCAACAATATTGAAGCCTAAAGGTAGAAAGGTAAAATCTACCCGACAACTTTCTCAAGAAATACCAATATTTACAATGGAGCAGGAAAAAAAACTTTAAAAAAAAAAGGGGGGGGGGGGGGAATTAAGATTTAAAAAATTGCTCCTAGCATAGAAAAAAAAGTGCCACAAAATTAAATTATAGTAATAAAAACTCCTGACATACTATATTCTAGAATAACATAATGAATTAAGAAAAAAGTTTTACCTTCCCCCTACGTCCATTTCCTCCATCCTGATCTTCCCATTGCCAGTCTACTCCTCGTACCACTCTGGCACCTGCAAAGATCCCTCTGGCTGTAATCTTCTTAGATTTTCTACGAGATTCTAATAGAACCCTAAAAATAAAATTATTTCAAACTTGTTTAAAAATAGGTAACATAATTTTTTAACAACAGTATATAAAAGGTTATTTCGAAAATATAAAAGAATTTTTAAATAGTAATGAAATCCACATATAAACCCAATCTACTTCAAATTATCACTATACTCTTCACTGCTTTAGAGATAGCAAACTCAAATCAAGTACAACTGTTAGGCAAATAATATAAATGAGTTCCTAAAAAAAACAGTGCCACAGAAATGGAAAATGGCAAGTGGCACTTTGACCTCAGGCTTATTTAGGAAGACAACGGGGAGTGGTAGGGACTTTGGTGAACTCAAGCATGGATTTGTCTACAGGGTACAGGTGCTCCTGTGCTTCAGCAATCTCTTGCCACGAACAAATGTAGGCCCAGTGCTAAGTTTTCTGGGGGTGTGCGCACATGAGTGTGAGAGTGTGTGTGAATGTGTGCATATTTTAAAAATAGATAAACTTAGATTTTTTTGTGAAATCACCCAATTTCAAAAGATTAACAATTGTTCAAAATTTTGGAATATGGTACATGTCAAGTAAAATACATCTGTGGCCTAGTCTTGACCTGCATTAAACTGCCTCCAAAGTTCTGAACACCTACAGAAGACTGTGGACCTTGGAAAAGATTCTAATTATATGGACCAGCTGGGTTTTCCAAGCAACTACCCCATATTCTACACATCCTCATTCATAAAACCAAAAAGATTTTGGGATTTTTTCCTTTTGCTTTTCTGCTTTCATCTCATTATTCTATTCATTTTTAGAATATCTTTAATATATTCTAATTTTTTAAATTGTAAACAAAAGACAAAAATAAGTTGTTCCAATTACTTAGTAAATAAATGGCAGGACCATAATTTGAACTGGGAAACCAGGTCACCCAAATCCATCTTTCTATTACTCTTGCTGCTTTCCTATGACTGGCTAGATTCGTGCTCTTATGCATTATCCATCCTATCTAATAAAAGAGTAATATGCAAATTGACCATCACTCCACCCAAGATGGTTGCCCCCATGTAGACACAAGATGGCCATCACAAGATGGCCAGCAGGGAGGGCAGCTGTGTACGATCAAGCCAGCAGGGGAGGGCTGTTAGGGATGACCAGGCTTGCAGGGGAGGAAAGTTGGGGGGGGGGGGGGGAACCAGGCCTGCAGGAGAGGGTAGTAAGGGATGATCAGGCCAGCAGGGAAGGGCAGTTAGGTGCAATTGGGCCGGCAGCAGAGCTGGCATCGCTCAGGCTGGCAGGGGAGGGGTCAGGGGGGTGATCTGGCTGGCAGGCAGAAGAGGTTAGGGGCAAACAGGCAGGCAGGCAAGCGAGCAGTTTGGAGCCAGCAGTCCTGGATTGTGAGAGGGATGTCCGACTGCCCGTCCCATCGGGCGTAAACAGGCAGTTGGACATCCCTCAAGGGGTCCCAGATTGGAGAGGGTGCATATGGGCTGAGGGACACACCGTTGCCCCCGTGCATGAATTTTGTACACTGGGCCTCTAGTATCTACATAAGAAGACTAAATTACCTGAAACTCTATGCCCTTTCACAATTAACACTCCTCTCTCTTACTCCTACGATGACACTTAGTACATATCCCTATGTAGAGTATAAAACATTACATGATAATCACTGTTGATCAAATAATCCCTTAACTTGAAAACTCTTTAAGTATTTTACCTTCAAATTTACACAAGCAGAGTAGCTGCCTCAAAGTCTTAATAAATGCCTCTTGACTGGATCAATGGACCCTAGTGGTAGCAATTAACAAAATAGAAAATATAGCAAGAAGAAAATAATCAGCCCTGATGGTAGCTCAGTTTGTTAGCACAGCATACAATACACCAAGGTTGGGGGTTCAATCCCCAATCAGGGCACATATAAGAATCAACCAATGAATGCATAAGTAATAGGAACAACAAATCAATGTTTTCTAAAAATCAATCAACAAAATAGTAATAATAAAAACACCAGCTTGTTAATAAAAAAATAAAGAATAATCAGTCTCTCTTGGGCTACCCTTGCATTTCCAAATACTGAGTAATGCCAGATCTCTAACTGAGAGAAAGAATCGCCTCAATTATCTTGGAAAAATACTTAGTGCTTTGTCTTCGCAGAGGCAAGCCTGGTCTACTTTTAGCCTGCTCCCTGCTACCTCCTGACTAAACTAGCTCTTAGAAGCTTTCCTAATCCTGCCTTTAAGGCTGAATAGTATAAAATTTTAATACAAACAAGAAGTTGCGACTGAAGAAAAGCTATTTCCCATACCGCTCACTCCCAGGTGTGGTGATTCTATAGAAGCGGTGCCTTAAGTGGTGCTTGTCTCCATGGTAACACACTGTGCACAAATCATAATTCGTACACTCGGCACACTTCCATCGAATGCCAATGATTGGCTGCTGGCGGCAGGTATCACACATGGTTCCATCATGCTTAATGCCTATTAAAACAAGGATACATCCTTATATTAATTACAGGTATTATTTACTTGAATATTATTTGTTAAGAGGAAAAATAAGAACACAACATTTTACCAAGTATTTCAATAAAGTAGGAAATAATATTTCAAATGCACCATATATAGTTTCAAGATAACGTATTACAAATATTTTAATCAGCACAAATTATAGGCTAAATAGCTTCTATCCCTTTTTTTTCCATTAATAAAAACATTTCTCAGTAGTGCTTCCCTTTAGCAGTGGGGGCAAGATCAGGACAGCAGGGAGGGCAGCTGGGGGCAACCAGGCCAGTAAGGGATGGCAGTTGGGGGTGAGATCAGGCCAGCAGGGAGGGCAGTTAGGGGTGATCAGGCAGACAGAGGTAGCAAGGGGGTGGGGGGGGCGCAAAATCAAGTCAGCAGGCAGAGAGGTTAGGGACAATCAGACAGAGGGGTTAGGGGCAATCAGGCAGGCAGGCAGGCAGGTGAGTGGTTAGGAGCCAGTGGTGTCAGATTGTGAGAGGGATGTCCGATTGTAGAGGAAACATTGATATTTCTTTCTCTCTCTTCCCCTTCCTCTCTCTATAAAATCAATAAACACATTTTAAAGTATTAAATATGAAAAAAGAAAATCATAAAACTACTAAGAAAAAGTTGAACAGCATACTTTACAATTTTGAGTAAAGTTTTTCAAAGCATAGCACAAAACCTAGAAGTCACATGCATGCCCATGTGAGCACACATATACATACATGTGTATAAATAGCAAAAAATCTGTAAGCCCACTACAAAATTGCTGACAATGATTGAGGATGCACAGATGGGGAAGGAGAAGGAACTTTCATCTTTTGTTTGATATACTTTTGAATTGTTTAGTTTTATTATAAGCATACTAGAGGCCTGGTGCATGAAATTCATGCATGGGTAGAGTGCCTAGGCCTGGTCGGGAATCAAAACCAATCAGGACCAAGGGGGCGGGGGGGCCTTGGAGGTAACCTGTGGGGCGATTGGAGGGCAATTCCAGGCCCGCCCCCTGATGCTGCTGTTGCCGGTTGCCTCCCTCTGCAGGGCGACCAGCGGGGCAATTGTGGAGCCCCTGCTGGCACTCGCCTTGGCTGGCCTGGGGCCTGTGGGCAGCTCCTTTACTGAGCGTCTGCCCTCTGGTGGTCAGGGCATATCAGTGTATCCTAGTGACCAGTCATTCCACCAGTTGCTCCACCATTCGGTCAATTTGCATATTAGGCTTTTATTATATAGGATTATTAATTTCATACTTTTTTAAATATATATTTTATTGATTTTTTACAGAGAGGAAGGGAGAGAGACGGAGAGCTAGAAACGTCGATGAGAGAGAAACATCAACCAGTTGCCTCTTGCACACCCCCTACCGGGGATGTGCCCGCAACCAAGGTACATGCCCTTGACCGGAATCGAACCCGGGACCTCTCAGTCCGCAGACCAACACTCTACCACTGAGCCAAACCGGTTTTGGCTAATTTCATACTTTTAAAAAGAAAACACAGCCCTGGCCAGTGTGACACAGTGGGCTGGGTGTCATCCAGTGCACCAAAAAATAGTATCCAAAGATAGTAAATTGTTTGTAGTAGATAGAAACAAAAATTTAACATAACTGATGTAAAAAATATGGAGTTATTGCCTGACTGGCATGGTTCAGTGGTTGAGCATTGACCTATGAACCAGAGGTCATGGTTAGATTCCCAGCCAGGGCACATGCCTGGGTTGCATGCTCAATCCCCTGTGTGGGGCATGCCAGAGGCAGTCGGTCAATGGTTCTCTCTCATCATTGATGTTTCTGTGTCTCTCTCCCTCTCCCTTCCTCTCTGAAATCAATAAAATATATTTTTAAATAGGGTTACTTATGTGTAAACTATAGTCATTCATAAAGGAAATTCAGTTATTAAACCACCTTATAGAAGAAATGTTACTGACATCATAAACTGTATTATTATCTTATAAAGCAGTTTGCAAACAAATACAGTATACCATTTTGGTAAATAAATTACATAATGCATATAATTCATGTGCACATAAAAACTGGAAATGTACTGATGGGATTACTCTTTGTAGTTTTCCAAGTTTTCTACACTGTATTAATTCTAGGAAGCACCTAGGTGAGTAGAGGTATTTAACATGTAGTATAAGCATATAATTAAACTAAAAGCTAAAACGAACAAAAACATGAGGGATTCTAAACAGATTTTAAAGAAACCAACTTTTAAATATTTACTTTAGCAATATGGTATTAACTGTTATTTAGAAATTTTTATTTCTTTTAAGCCTTACACAAATTAAGCAATTCATGTGTATGAAAAGAAAATATATACAAAAAAAAGAAAATATATACCTTATTTAGATATACTTCTCATTGCCACATATCTGAAGTTAGAGACTAATCTGTTTTACTACAGGAAAACACTATGACCAAAAACATAATATCAAATAGCATAATAGTAAATATCTCCACAATGATTAAGTTTCTGAACAAGATGTAAAATAGGTCTTCTATGTCATTACAAAAAGTAAAATGCACTAAACAATCAGTATCCCTATGCATTTAGAAGTTATTTTTCCTAAGCTATCTGTGCAGCACTTCAAATGAGTTGATAAAAAGCATAGGGAAAATGTATCCCAACTCTCACTGACCACAAAAAGAAAAAGTTCAGTTTTTAGCTATCTATATATTTCATCTCTACCTTAATTTTCCACAAAGCACAATGATAACATTCATGAGCTCATAATCTTAAGCAGGCTTTCTTTAAAAGAAACCATTTAAATACACAATAACAGCTGGGGTTGGTTTTTTGTTTTTGTTTTTGTTTTAAAAGGCCCTTCTACAATTCATGGTTTTAAAGAATACTCCAGGAAAATCATTAATGCACACAAAAGCATATCCAAATCCGGGTTCCCACAGTTCAAACACCAACTACTGAGCAGCTATGAAAGAGACTAGTGCTGAGAATTGGAAAAAGTAAGCAAAGCAACACCTCCTTCCATTACCAACATGAGCACTAAAAACCTTTTTAAGAATGCAACTGATTTTTTTAAATTGATATTTAAAGAAAACATAAAACAGGAGAATGGGCATTACATAAACAAGGCCCAAATCTGACTTATATCTCACTTTGGTGGCGTTTGGTTTCCAGTTACTACCGTGTTTCCCCGAAAATAAGACATCCTCCGAAAATAAGACCTAGCGCATGGAAAGATAAGACATCCCCTGAAAATAAGACTTAGTGCAACTTTGGGAGAAAAAAATTAATATAATTTCAGGGAAACAGGGTACACCTATCCAATTTATTCTCATCTAAAACAATTTCCTCCCAGTCTAAACCTCCTTCACCCTGGCAAGAATTATTTCTTAAAAATTTCATTTCATAAAACTTAATTCCCTAACTAAACCTATTATATTTTTTCTCCTTCCTATAGAATACCATGTTACCATCAAGAGTTAATGCTCTCTCCCTTTGCTAAGCTTTAGGAAGACATCTGCCACCATTAAATGAACCACCTGATGATAGCTTTTGACTCATTCTATTAGTACTCAAATGACCATCTGCTGTTTTACCGGCATCTGGCCTAAATGCAATAACTTAGAGAATTTACATAGCTTAAGTCTCTTTGTTGGAAAATTTTATGAGAACAGTAAAACGTGCTAGTCAAGATCAATAACCACAAGTTAAAAGAGCCAATGAAAACAGCTCACATTCACAAAACGCTGATCTATGCAAGTAAAATGTTTAATTTCTAGCCAGAAAAGATGATTGAAAGAGGGTACTGAAGTTCTCATTACAAGTAGTTCACTATATGAATGAATCACTTCGACATGGAATAAGAACATCTAAATTATCACTTTGCATAATAGCAAAAGCAAGCAATATAATTGTCTATTCACAAAGAGTGGAAATCTATATTAGGTATACAATGGCATACCTAAAATAAATGTTCAACATGGATGAATCCTTCAACTGCAATGCTGAATTTTTTAAGTACACAATTCAAAATGTTGCAAATAAAGCAGTGTACACTGTTTACAGATATATAAAAACACTAGAGGTCCAATGCATGAAATTCATGTAAGAATAGGCCTTCCTTCCCCCAGCAGCCGGCACCAGCTTCCCTCTGGCATCTGGGACCTGGGCTTTCCTCGCAGCCCCAGCTACATCTGGAAGGTCTCCAGAAGGACATCTGGTCTAATTAGCATATTATGCTTTTATTATTATAGATAGCATAGCCCTAGCCTGTTTGGCTCAGTGAATAGAGCGTCGACCCTCGGAATGAAGGGTCCCGGGATTGATTCTAGTCAAGGGCACAGACCTTGGTTGCAGGCTCATTCCCTGGCCCTGGCCAGTGTATAATACATGCAGGATGCAACCAATTGATGTGTGTCTCTCACATCAATGTTTCTCTCTCTGTGTCTCTCCCCCTTCCTTCCCCTCTCTATTAAAAAAAAAAAATCAATGGAAAAAATATACTCAGGTGAGGATTAACAAAAAATTAATCAATTAATTTAATTAAAATGGCATAAATGTAAACCCATTGGAATAAGTTATTTCTAGATAGTGGTTATCCTAGCCTACGAGAAGAAGGAAGAGAATGTAATTGGGAAGAAGAACAGTGTTTCAAATGTATTAGTAATGCTTTGCTTCTAGATGGGTTCACAGGAATTTATTAATTATTTATCTACTTGGATATTTAAATATTATGTAATAAATTTTATAAGTTTTTAAAATAAAAAACATCCCTAGACTAGTATAGTGCCAAGGTTAATCCTCTAAATTTTTGCTCTAATTAAAAGACTTCACCTAAGATTAAAAAATAATTTATAAGTTATTAACCAGTTCTTAGGTGTAATTATTTATTACGGCATATTGTTATCATTCAACAAACCAAGAAACTCTATTTCTGATTTATGAATTCATTCAATTTGAACCCCAAATTAATGTGACAAAACGTTTACAGAAATTTAAAAGAGGGTTAACCAA